CCTTCTAGATTCAAATTCCTTGCAGATGCAATCAGGCCTCGTCCTCTAGTAGGGCTTTGGGGATCAAAGCACTGCGAGATTTTCATATCTTACTTTTTTCCCAGCTAAGTTCCAACATTCTTCATCATTGCTTAAACAGCAGAAGTCTGTATAGGAATTTTTGGCATGTAGGATCAACTAGTTCTGTGTTTGAGAATCCCATGTTCCAATCTCTCATGTCAGCCCATGTGTCTATAAAACATTCAGTTACGTTTTTCTAGTGCAATAAAAGTTCCCCTGTCTATAACAACCACTTCTTTGGCCACATATGCTATCAGTCCCATTTAATAATTTTGGACATGGAAGTAGCCACCATTTCCTTCCCATCTAAAAAGGGCTGTCTTTTTATTGAGCTTACATAAAAACTTAGTTGCCAAATAGTTCTTCAGTAGATTTAAGGGAAAACACTATTTTTTTAATAAATTATAGGAAAATTATAGCTACTACAGAGAAAACAACAGCTCTTGAAATCTACATCCACTGTTCTCTTGCTGAAAGTTTCCTTACAATCTTCAAAGTCTACTACCTTTAAACTAAAGTAAAGAACAAAAACTCTTTAATCCATTCCTAGGCAGTTGGTAGATTCACTGTCATTATTTATATACTCATATATATTTGTATTCTCTAATAATTTGTGAGTTCCTAAGGGACACATAAATGTCATCTACTATAATTATACAAAAGAACAAAAAATCTGTCTTGGAAGAAGTAAAGCCAGAATGCTCCTTAGAGGCAAGTGTGTTAAGAATTCACCCCAGGTGCTTTGAACATGTTAGGAGATGCCAGTCCCCTTCATGCTTGGTAAACTTGCAGGGCAGAGAAAAGAGGAAGACCTTCAACAAGATGGACTAACACAGTGGCTGCATCACTGAGCTCAAACAAGGCAACAATTTTGAGGATAGCACAGGACTGGGCAGTGTTTTGTTCTGTTGTACATAGAGCTGCCATGAGTCAGAACCACCTTGAAGACACCAACAACAATAGCTATGGGCAGATGAAGGGAAGACAGGAAGGGAGTAATCGAAAAAGCAAAACATAAACTTGTTTAAGAAAAGGTATTTGTTGATTTTAAATCACATTAAGGACCATACTTGAGGCAGCCCCCAGACTATGAACAAGTTCTGATCCATCTTAAATTGGAACATAATCTCACAAGCAGTCAAGTGTTTGTAACATGATAATACAGCAATAATAATAGTGTTTCCATGAGTCACAAAATGGCACTTGTTATTATGAACAATTGTTTATACCACCATATTTTTAATTTAATAGGCTTTATGGCTATAATAGTCTTTAATGGTTTCCATGGGTTGTTCCTAGGTTAGACATTTGTAACCTGGAGACTACCTATATGCCTAACCTATATTACTAACAAATTAATGCTTCAGTAGCTAAAAATAGTTTCTCAGGGCAAAAGCATAATTACTAGTCAAGAGTTCTATACTTGAATAAAACATCAATAGAAATGAGTTTTCTGATAATAACAAAAAAAAAGTTTATCTGGGGGATGCAGGGACGATAACAGCAAGTAATATTGGCCAATATGGAGGAGGCCCCAGTATACTATCATATTTTACAAGAGAACTGCTCAGCTCTCTAACTTTAGCACATTCTATAAACACCAGAATTAAACTGCAGTCTTGTAACATGTTCCCTGTTATATTTTTACATGACCCTATGCTATGCCATTTACAAGACAGCTATTTATATTCCTAATGTAAAGAAGTGTGGTTATTTGAATGTATCAGAAAGTTTTCTTAAACTATTTAATGAATAGAAGTTTCATTCGTACATTAAGATGGAAAGATCTTTCAATACATGCACAATCACATAACAGGGATTTATAAAGAACATGATGCTCTGATCTAATAATGTGGTAGGGAAAGGAAATACCTTGATCAGAGTACTTTAAATATACTATTTTTGATATCTGAGAAATTCCTACGGCAAAAGTACAAGGAGGTGTTAAACGTATTTGCCCAGAAGAGTAAATCAATTTAGAAAGCTTAGTACTGATTATCTAGGGTAAAAGGAATAGAAGTGATGATAGAAAAGGAGATGACTAATACAAATAACATAGTCAGAGTTCTTGGTAATAGAATTTTTTAAATAAGACATTTTAACATTTCTTGTTAGTTTTTAAAATACTAAAAGTAGAAATGAACTAAACATAAGGGCAAGTTAAAAGATAAACTGGTAACACAGAAATCATGTTAAAGAACTAAATTAATTCATATAACAAATACCTACACACACAAAAAAGTGGAATTTCCAATAAACTATTTTTAACAATTTAAAATATGTCTTTTAAAGAAGTAACAAATTTTCCAATGCCCAATAGGATTTTGTTGTAAGTTGTCCTACAGTTGGCTTTCTGCAAGTGTCATCCTATGACATGGTATAGAGTAACTGCTAAGCAAGGATGTTCACACTGCAGTCAAAATTAATCTACAAGAACCTTAAATGCACAGGTATAAATTAGGATGGTTGATCTGTAGTTTTATCTTACACAGAAAATATTTAAATGGAAGCTGAATGACAGCTGGTGAAATATGAGTCTGCGATTTAATCACTCAAAAATATCAGCACTAAGGCAATATAAACGTGTAAGGCTTTTGAAAGTGTTTTGGATTTCTATAATATGCCCACCTAGAGCAAATTTTTTAAATTGAGAGCTTGGCATTTTGTTGCTTTGCCAGGCAAATAACTATAGTTGAGAGGAAAAAGTAAGTTGTGAAAGGCAATTATGGTTTCATAACAACTGATCTTATAAATACATTGATCCCTAGATAAAAGGAATACACTAAACAAAATAAGGTTCATTTATTGACTTAAGAAATTTCCTAATAAGCCTACCTGGTCTCACTTACTAAAGGTACAAGAATGAGGTCAGCAGGATCAGAAAAATCAGCCAGTAAAAGGGCAAAGATCAGGTGGATTTCTCATTTAAGGACTATTATTGCACAGTTCCCATGGAGATGAATACAGAGAGAGGCAGGAGAAATAGGAGTAATGCAGAGCCGCTGGCTATCCAGATTAGCCTGGCTACGACTAAGATAAAAATAAGTACATTTAAGTTTTATAAGGTGACTAGATGACTTCAAAGTACTCTCTCTACTGGATGGCCATTCAAATATCTCCTAATGGTCTCCTAATTTGAACTCCTAAGAACTGGGGGCAGAACATTTCTGGAGAGATCCTCATTAAAAAATGTTTTTTATGTTACCCTTCACTCTATAATAAAATAATCACAATCTGTTTTTCAATTAGAATGTATAAAATATTACAGCAATATATTAAATATCATTAGAGGAAAAAACTAGTAATAAGGTAAACAAGAATTTAGCTTATTTCATTAACTGAGAAAAAAAGTTAATGTCTTTGTTTTTTTAGGCATTTCTATTAACTTCTTTCCCTATATGGATACAAAAAAATTAACTCCTAATGGTCAAAATAATCAGTAACTAAGTTGACGAGAATGAAAGTTGAGAGAGAATGAGAGAATTTAGTATAAAAATTAAGATACAAAATAATATAAATTTCAATGAACAAAAACAGAAGTCATTTGAATAAAGTAAATCCAATAACTTTACATTAGAACTGAAGAGAAGAGACTACAGGAAAAATGCAGTACTTTGCTGAACTATGATGACAACCATATTAGACACAGTTGAAAAAGAGTTAAAAAACCCACCCACATAGACAAAAATAAAAAACAAGGCCCCTTGTAGACCTTACAATGCTTTTGAACACGGCTGCAGTGATCATACCTTTAATATTCACTTCCAAAACTCCAACTCACTGCAATTGAGTCAATTTTGGCTAACAGCAATGCAAAGGACCAGGTAGAATTGCCCCTATGGGATTCTGACACTGTAACTCTTTATGGGAATAGAAAGCCTCCTCTTTCTCCAGAACAGCTAGTAGTTTTGAACAACTGACCTTGTGTCTAGCAGCCCAACATATAACCACTACGTCACCAATAAAACCCCAAACCCTCCATCCATCGAATGGATGCTGACTCATAAAACTGCCCTTGCGAATTTCTGGGATCGTACCTCTTTACATGAATAGAAAGCCCCATCTTTCTCCCTGGTGGTTTCAAACTGCTCACCTTGTGGTTAGAAGCCCAACTTGTAACCACTATGTCAGTACACCACGAGGGCTCCTTAAATATTTGGTTAATCATTACCAACATTTACCAGTATGAAAAAAAGATTATAGGAATTATGTAAAACTTAAGTCTAAAGAGATTTTATTTTTTAAGAGATTTAATTTTTTGAATAATTATTTGAAGAACTTAAAAATATATGATATCAATTATAATGTACTAAGCGTTTCACGTGTATAAAAGCCTAGGGCTAAATGGCAAGTAGAGATCATAATCAAGATATTTATTTGCCACAAAATAATACAGAAAGGGAAAAAGTGGTGACAGTGTTAGATGAAATATTAACAATGAGCTGATAATTTAAAACTGTGTGATGGATACACTATTCTATCAGTGCAAGTAAAGTTTTCCACATATAAATACATGTATTTTACTTATTTAGTCATATTTTCATGGTTTATTCCATGACTACCTAGTCAGTGATGATTCAGATGTTCTAATGAAATATTATCTATCATATACAGAGATGATGTTATTGTTACTTGCCTCTGAGTCCATTTCGACTCATATTGACCGTATGTGTGCAATGGAGATCACAGGCTCAGAAGTAGATCACCGGGCCTGGCCCCCAGGGTGTCTCTGGATGGGTTTGAACCTCAATCTTTTGGCTAGTGTCAAGCTCTTGAAATGTCTATGGAACCCAAGTGACCCAATACAGTAAAATAAACGCTCCTGCAGGTTTTAAAGCAATACTTTGAATCAAAGAGTAACAATATGTTAAATAGTTGAAACAGAAAAAGTGTTGTGTTTTTTTTTAAAAAAAAAAAGCAGCTACAAATTACTTTCTTACCTTGACCAAGATGTGATGGTTTTTGAGAAATTATGTGGCCACTGCTATCTAAAACATACTGGGTGCTAAAATTGTCAGCAGCTGTTCTTGTTGTAATTAAAACCTGAGGGGAGGAAAAAACACTAATAAAATTATGATTATAATTTTAGATATGAAATGGGGTCATTATCACATCTATCATTTAACATTATTTACTTCAGACATTCCACCTGTGGTTCCACAAAATGAATGTTTTTGCCATATGCAAAACACATCACTCCTCATTAATCCCCCAAATCTTAAGTCAATTCCAAGTCTTCATAGGTGAATCTGTGAATATACAATATTTTTCCAAAGTACAATGCCAGAGCAGGCTCAAGATAGACTTCCCTTTATAAATGTGAGATATTGGAGGGAAAGAAGCAAGCAGAATAAATGACCCTGGATTTGAAAATAACCATGTCTTGAAAAGAATCCTCTTTTCTCTGAGAGCACCCAGACCCTGGGTGTTGGCCATACCCTCGGGATTCTGGGTCAAGGCATTCTCAGCCCTGGGCTTTGGCTCTGCTTCCGGGGTCCTCTGGGATGGCAACTCAGCTCCCTTGGCTTTGGATGGCTCGATTCGCCTCGTCTGTTTGAGTGGTCATCCCAGCAACTAGGCCTTAGCAGATCAACTTCCTCTACACTGTCCATTTTCTTATAGAAGCCTTACCACAAGCACAGTTTATACCAGAATTTCTAGCAACATTCTGATCCTAGTACCATATATTCTCGAAGTTGACAGAAACGCTCTCTAGAGCTCTCATTTCCCTCTGAGCCCTCACTAGAACTGCCATTCATATCCATAATTCTACCAACAATCTCTTCGAGGCAATCTAAGCTTTTTCTATGGGGCTGCTTAAAACTCTTCTGGCCTCCTCTATCCATTACTCAATTCTAAAACTGCTTTCATATTTCAGGTATCATTAAAAGTATTACCCCATACCTCAGTACCAAATTCAGTCTTAGTTAAGATAGTGTGGCTATCATAGAACTATAAGTAGGTGGCTGTAACAAACAGAAATGTAATTTCTCAGTTTGAGAGTCTAGAGGTCTGAATCCAGGGTGCCAACTCCAGGGGAAAGCTTTCTCTCTGTCAGCTGAAGAAGAAGGTTCTTGTGTACTCTGGGTTCTGCACCTGGGCAATCATCACCTTGACATCTTCCTTTCCCCATCTCAGCTGTTCCTGTTTGTTTACTCAATCTCTTTCATATGTCAAAAGAAAAACACTTTACACTAATCCTGTTGCATTAACATAACAAAGACAACCTAATCTCAAATGGGATTATCATCACAGGCATGGAGGTTAGTATTTGAGAAGACACAAGTCAATCCATATCAGCATATTTATGAAAGGTTCTCATTCCATATAAAAATTTTTTCTAAATGTTAGTCACAGAAGTAAATATTTAAGCAGATTAGTACTATTTGGATCTCTGTCACCCTCCGCTATTTACCCACACCAAGGATCAGTAGAGGAATACAACAATAGTAAAACAGATCACGCATGTTGTGAAACTACAGTTTAACAACGGCCAAACATCACCGTCAGAGAATACCACGGCTGGGAGTGAGGTTGATGGCAAGGAAAACAGAGTAAACAGGGAACAGGACAGCCGCTTCACACTTCTAATGAGCAATGACGACCCAACACTATGAGCAATTCTTCCTGGCTGTCCTTCAACTTAACAGAGTTGAATGCGAGTATCTTAAATTAATATAATTTAGGACTAAGCCATAAAGATCCACAAAGAAGCCACAGCCAGAACTTATCTAGGTCTAATTAAATCTACAGTTGATGATCCGTCAACCTGTCTTACCATGCACTTATTACTGTAAGCCATATGGCTAAGTGAAACAGGGAGGAATTGATTCAATTGTGGTGAGTGAGTTCATAGTACTGGTAGAGTTTACTAGATTCTCTCTGCAAGTAAAGTCCACATTTGGGGTACTGCCTCAAAATGTTATTTCCGTGATAGACTTGTTACCCAGAAGAGAGGTACCTCAAACACATGAAGGTGTAAGCTTCTATATACACCTAGGTGATTGTTTTACATATTCCAAAAGTGTATTCCATGATTTTACATAAAGAGTTTCCCGATAACTATCCTTAATATTCCCTGTTACATTACAACTCTATTGTGTCCAACAGCAATTTCCCCTAGCAAAGTTTGTTCAAAACAGAGGACAGAAATGCTGGAGATATTGATTTCTAATTTAATTACTCCATGTTTGTCCCTTTAAAAACAATTCTGCGTTCAACCAACCGCTTTTCCAAAATGCCAAGGTCAATTGAATTCTATTTCTATTCTCCAAAGAGATAGTCACCTGACCTAAAGTTGGTATCACTAAGCAAAGGCAGCCCTGGAACTCCGAGTTCTAGTACTAATTCTGCCAACGGCTTGCTAGATGGTCCTGAATAAATGATTGCACTATAATCTTTAAGGGGAGGGTGATGATAAGATGAAGACGAGGCTAACACTTTATAAGGTTACAAGAAGTTTCTGCTTTAAAAAGTTCAAAGCATTTTATGGACACTAACTTTTTGTCACATTAAATATATTAGTAAATAGTAACTGAACATGTATTTCAGCCTAATGAATAAACTGAATACTGAAAGTGAAAATGAACCCTATGGATCCTAATGTAAAAATTACATTAAAGCAAAAAGAGGGACACAATATTGCTTCAAAAAATTTCAAAAATTACAATTTTTAAGGTACAATGAGAATTTATTTAGATAGGCAATGCTCTGTAATTCCCTACTAAAGACAGGGATGGCTAACACGCACAAGCATGTTTCACAAATTCATGAAATACAGTGTGTTCCTCAGAGGAAGGAATTGTATTTCAAGAGTTCATTTCATCATATGACCCTGTGTCCTGGCAAGAACACTTTTTTGGACCAGGCACTGGTTCAGAATGCACTAGCTGTGCAGCAGCTAGCATTTGAACCAGCAACAACTCCACCATCTGGAGCATCACAAACACTACAACCTACCGCTAGTGCTTCTTACCCGAGACAGTGAGAAATTGCACTGAATGAATCTAGTGGCGACAAGAGAAGTAAAGAAAACTAGTATTTTACAGGTAGAAACTTACAATTTATGTTAATTATCAATTATTAAAACCTGACTCTTCAGTCCAGCTGCCAAGTTTCAAGAACAATAATTACAATGACATAAAAACATTTGTACTTTAGATAAGCATCGCTTTTCTGGAAATTTCAGATTAAAAATAAATAAATTAAAAACTCAGTATATAAAACTAGCAATTACAGCAAATATCTGGTTGACAAAAATTAATTTATGGTCATTATATTAAAGTCTCTCTTTTCGAGGGAAGGGGGTGGGTGACCTATGGATAAATACTTTGGCATACAAACATGAGTCTGAAAACTAAGGTAGTTTGTCCTTACAATTCAGATGAAATATGAAAATATGGATATTTTCTTGAATAGATAAAACATATTTTTCTCTGAATGGGTGAGTATGCCTGCCCATGCTTAGTGGTACTCCAATACTAGCAAACTGACTTCAGACACCTGCAGCATGGGAACATCAGAAACAGAGAGATCCTTGTCTTGACATTTTCCTCACCAGAGCTCTACTACTTGTGAGCATTTAGGATAACTGCTCCAAAAATCCCTGTGCTTACTCAGAAATAAGTAGTACTGTCACGGCTCTAAAGGACAAAATCCAGGCTTGGCTCAAAACCATGAGAATGATACTATCAACTCCCCCTTAACTTTTAACAGCTCTGTGATTCCACAAATAAGCAAGTCCTAGTGGGTTGCATGTTGGGCTGCTAACCCCAAGGTCAGCAGTTCAAAACCACCAGCCATTCCGAGGAAGAAAGGAGCCTTTCAACTCCCTTACAAAGTTACAGTCTTGGAAACTCACAGGGACAGTACCAGTCTTCCCTGTAGCATTGAGATGGATCAGAATTGACTCAATGGCAGTGAGTTTGGTTTTGGTTTTAGCTTACATCTTCAAAACAGAATAGCTCAATTTCTCATTTCATATCACTGCATCTTCACATTCAAGTCCCAGGTTGAAAAACAAATTTCATATATGTGGCGCATGACAATATTTAAGAGGCATTAAGACATATTATTTCCCTTGATCATCAAATCATTATTCTCACTTTATATGAAAAAAAATCTCAGAAAGAGTAGCATGTTTTAAGCATTTGTCCAAGTCTCTTATTTACAAATACTTGGGACTTAAAATTAGACTTCTTACTTCTAGTTCAGACCTTGTTCTGATTTTAAGGAAACAAAACTGTACTGTATTCCTCCTAAAATGGAGTGATCATTTAGCCTACACTTAAAATCCAGTTCAAAAAGTTTAAATTATTTCTTTGTCAGGAAAAGAATTGCTTTCATTGTGAGATACATAAAACAACAGCAGTTCTTCTAACTTTTCAGTTATTTCTAATCTTAGAACTAAAAGCCCAAAGGAAGAAACATTCTATGTACATCTAGAGAATAAACTATTGGTATTTGAAAAGAGAGTCACTGCTTCTATAGCCTATCATGAATGCAATGAGACAAATTAACTGATACACTGTATTATACTATGTGAATAGAATTATATGTGTAAGTAATCTTCAATAAATTTTATGAACAAGTCAAAGAAGGATTTTCACAATCTCTAGTATATTCTAGTCAAAATACTTAGTAATTTAACTTTCAGGAATGACAAGTACAACAAAATTATTTCTCTACAAATAACATATTAAGTTTCTGTCAATTTGTGTAATTGGTATCCTTGCATTTAATAATGACTATGGAAGGAGTCATTTTATTTTTAATACCAACAGTTTACTATGTAGACGTAAAAAGAACGATTCCCTCACTTGGACAGTCTAATTCTAAGATTAGAAGTATTTTTCTTAATTAAAAAATTAGAAAAAATGCTTGTTATGTTAAAATGTATAAATAATACAGAATTAGACAGGCTTTTAATTTCTCCAATTTTGCTGCAAGTCCATGAATTTTGTTCTTATAACTGAAATTAACATTTTTGAAATAATCTAACAAAAAACAATTTCAATAAGTAGTTCTGGATGATGGTTGGATTAACTGTGACAAATTGCATTCCCAAAACATGTTATCAACCGCTAAGTCTGAGATGGTTTGCACCTACATAATTTTAAAATTATACAGCTAGTTTGGTAGCTAAATAACCAAATCACAATTTTTATTCTATAATTGTGATCCCCATTCAAGAATTTTAAAAAATAAATCAGTATTTAAAATATAATATACGACTTCTATGTATGAAATCTCACCCTTTTTGTGTGATCAGAAATATTCAGTTAAGTTTAAGAAGTGAATTTTATGACTTAAGTTTTCCTAAATAGTATATGTTTTTTTAAATACAGTGACCTTAACATACACTGATTTCCATATTTTTCAAATATTGTTTAAAGTGCACCCACATAAAAGTTTCAACCTACCCCTGCCACATAAAAGTTTCAACCTACCCCTGATAACGTATTTATTGGGGTTACCACTGCAGGTGTGGGTATATGTATCATTTTAACATGAAGGTGTTTTAAAACTTATAAATACTTTTCTAACTATGCTAGCCAGAAGGCAGCATGGCCTACTGTGAAACATGAAATTGGAACTGAATTCTTGGCTTTGCCACAGACATACTATGTGTCCCTGAATAGGTTATAATTTTCATACTGCATTCATCGCAGTGTGCATGGTTCATCTGAAATAAACTACCTGCAGAATAGACAATGGGAGATTTGTTTACTGATTTTGAAGCTCTGTTTTATAGTTGTGTAAGAAGTCCCGGCATTTGGCTTCATAGGACTTCAGTGTCCTCATCAGTAATATGAGGAGACTGAACTTAGAAGGCCCGAGTTGTACATTGGCTTTTCCAGGAAGCAGACTCTGAAAGATCAGGGAACAGGAACTGTATTGGGGGGGGGGGGGTGCTTGAGAATGATCACTTGTGGGGGCAGTGAAGAAAGCAGGGCAGAAAGAGTAGTAGAGCTTTGCAAGCATCCCAACAAAAGCCTCAGGTGACCTCAAGAGGCACTCGGGAGCTGAGATTGTCCTACAAAGCTGTCCTGAATTGGGAGAGGGCCTGTACAGCCCTGCTTCCACAAGTTACTAGATGCACACTACCGCCAGAATAGGGCCATGCTCTGGGGAAAGTAACTCTCTTCCTTCAGCTGAGCTGACGTCATGTTCCACAGGGAGACTCTCATAAGTTGGAGCAAGGAGTACTTCAGCCTGAAGCAGGTTGCCTGGGCAGTGTACCAATATTCACCCATGAGTAACCGTTTGTTCCAGTTCTATGGGATTTCCCTTAGTTTTAAGGCAAAATTAAACCCAAACCATCATGAAAATACCTTTTTGATAAAATTAACATACTGTAAAATTCCATTTACAACAAGTTCAAGAACAGGTAGAATTAATCTATATTGTTACAGGTCAAAATAAGGGTTACCTTTGAGGGATATTAAGGAGCCCTGGTGGCATAATGGTCATGTGTTGGGCTGCTAACCTCGTGGTCACCACCAGTTGCTCTGTGGGAGAGAGATGAGGCTTTCTACTCCTGTAAAGAGTTAGTCTCGGACACCCATAGGGGGAGCTCTACCCTGCCCCTAGGGTCGCTATGATGCAAATTTGACTCAATGGCAGTGGGTTTGAAGTTTGGGTTTTCAGGGATATCATCTGAGGAGGAACATTAGAGAACATTCTAGGGTGTTGATAACGTTCTTTGTCTTGGTGTGGAATATGTACACATGTAAAAATCAAGTGTGCTGCGTGTGTGTGTGTATGTCCAAGGGGGCTTCAAAAATTAAAGGACAAATTCCACTACCCCTTAATTTCATTTTTCTACACACTTTTATACTCTATAGGCACATAAGCCTGTATGTTTTTCCTCAAATATATACACCAAACAGGAAAATCCATAAAATGCTCTACTAATAATTTTCTAAGAGAAGCTCTACACACTGCAATATATAATTTTTTTAAGTTTTAAAATTAGGACTTCCAAAACTGCCATCTGGAATCAGAGCTGCAGTGAAGATTTGGATAAATTATCAGGCTAAAGTACAACATCTTTTTAAAAGACCAATATAGTGCTGCCATCTAGCAGACAAAACTGAAAATAATCAGTGTCACTTGTGAAAAGTTAGATACATCTTAGAGAAATCCAAAAATCTATCTTCACTAACAATACCTTGCCACAACAAAGCTTCGAGGTTATCTAGTATGTTTGGACAATAACTAAAATTTTAAAGAGTTAAACAGTTAAAATTTTAAATTAAAAAAATTTTTTTTAATGTTCTCAAAGAAACAACATTCGTAAAGTAGCTTCAGAAGTTACTGGTGCAAACCTCATTTTAAACACAAACTTCTTCTAAAAGATCCTAGAGCTGGATGCTCCTATATACAGTTAGCAAAGAGAAAGATGTGCCATGTTCAGCTAGTCTTCCTCAATCGATTTGGAGAGTCAATGAACTTTAAGCAAAGCAAGTGCTGAGAAGAAGAGGAAGGTGTGCTGGCTTTGGGGTAGAGGTTTTAAAACAGAGTACACTTCAGAAATGACAAGGCCTTTCCTTGTGTAGTGATGTCTAAACATCTGGGTTCTAACAAGCAGGGACCCTAATCCTCTGTGTGCCAGCAGTAAGTAATAACTGCTCTCGCTTGCTCATGCAATTCCCACCTTCCACATCTCCACATGGACCACCAAGCGTGTTACCATGAAATGTGTCTGACTGCATTATTTTAATCTCTCTTCTAGCTCTCATGCTGTGACTTTACTATAATCTTTACTTATTATCACTGTATAAGTGCGCCCACCAGACCCGTGATGATTTGTTAGGGACTGGTTTCCCTGACACTGCACCATCTTTACAATCTATGTTTGAGTCAATTGTTGCAGCCACTGTGTCAATCTCTTCCTTTCACTTCAGCAAGTGTTATGTCCTTTCCCAGACATAACATGTCCTGAAAACATGTCAAGTACATGAGATGAAGTCTTGCTACCTTTGCCTCAAAGGAGCATTCTGACTGTACTTCTTCTGAGACAGATTTGTTTATTCTTTTGACCATCTATAGTACTTTTAATATTCTTCACCAACACCACAGTTCAAATGCATTGACTTTTTTTGGTCTACCTTAATCTATGCTCAACTTTCATATGCATATGAGATGATCAAAAATACAATCAATGGCTTGGGGGTCAGGAATACCTTAGTCAATTAACATCCTTGCTTTTCAACACTTTTAAGAGGTTTTGTGCAGCAGATTTACATAACACAATGCATTGTTTGATTTCCTGACTTCTGAAACCAAAAGCACTGATTGTGGATCTAAACAAGAGGAAATCTTTGACAACTTCAATCTTTATTACCTTACTGGTTCAAGTTGTGAGGATTTTGGTCATCTTTACATTGAGTTGTAATCCATACTGAAGAATGCAATCCTTTGTCTTCATCAACAGGTGCTTCAAGTCCTCCTCACTTTCAGCAAGCAAGTTTAGTGTTAGGTAACACAGCAAGCATCATCTACCTATCACAGGTTGTTGACAAACCTTCCACCAATCCTAATACCACAGTCTTCTTCATTTAATCCAGCTTCTCTGATCATTTGCTCAGCATACATGTTGACTAAGTATGGTCAGAGGATACAACCATAGTCTTCAGGGCACTAAGGTTACTTGGCGTAATATAGTTGACAAAGACAGTTTTCTACATCCTACTTTGGAGCACTGACAGGGAACTTAAAAGCTCAAGAGCAGTCATCTAAAGTGCAAACACTGGTCTCTTCCCACCCAAAACACACAAAAGAGGGCTTCAAAAAAATTGTGGAAAAATTCCCTACCTTTCTATTTCATTTTTTGATAAACTTTTTGAAGACCCCTCATATTCTATTTATGTATTATGTGAGAACAGTTTCTCACATAAAAGCTGCATATTAAATCAGATAAAAAGGTATTTAATTAAAAGTGTAGAGTTTTCATGCCTGTTGTCACTGCAGTGACAGCTTCACACATTTCCTTTTCTCTTTGTACACAATAGTCCTTATGCGGGATTAGTTTATCCTGAAATGGCCAGCAAGAGTAGGTAGAGCTCAATGTAATACATATGAAGCAATTCCACGTTCCATGTAATGCCATGGCTTCTCAGCTTCCTGGGAGCACTTCTGGCACCCCCAATGGCATTTTGTATGGATGCTAGGGTGTTATTCAAGGTCTGCAATATTGCACTAAACTTGAGAGAAAATATATGAGAATCTTGAGATGTAACTTTTTACAATGATATGCTATTTGCTAGAGAAACAAACTGCTCACATGGAGATAATTAGCATCACCCAGAGATTTTTTTTTTTGGTTTATAAACCCACATAAACTGGGCTTGCACAGTTTAAATCCGTGTTGTTCAGGGGTCAAGACATCCCAATAAAAGGGTTTCATAATCAAATAGGTGTAGTGAAACGTAGCTACAATAATCCACCATATAGAGATTCACGATACGCTTTAGTGGTGTAAAGGTTCTAAGGAGTGGTATAGTAAGAAGGTACCAATTCAAATTCAACTTTTTTCCCAAACCATTGAACCATTAAACAATGTTTTTCCTCCAACAAATACTAGCAAAGTAAAACCAAGTTTGCCATATTCTGAGTTTCCTTCCTCTTAATTCTAAAGTTCTCTGTTTATAAAATTACTAGAATAATCAATAAAAATGATCTTACCTCAGCTACACAACAAATTGATCCCAAGGCTTCTCCACGAAAGCCATAAGTTGTCAAACTTCCCAGGTCTTCATGGCTGTGTATTTTTGAGGTGTAGTTCTTCACCGCCATTACAGGTGCATCAACAGCCTTGATACCTTCGCCATTGTCTCGCACCTCGACCTTATCAAATCCATAGTTCTCCTAAAAAAGTGACTGCTTTTAGTACATAAAACATTACACAGTTTATTATCACATAAAGAAACACAAGTGAAACAAGCATGTCATTTACTTTCATTCACATAGAAGCTTAATTTTAGGGAAGAGGTTTCACAGCTTTATTAGTTCCTAATTATGATATAGTATATAAGTTCCTTGTTTTCTTAGAACTCAGATCCAACTGTAAAAAAAAGGAGTCAGTATAATGTTAATTAGATTTCTTTGGATCGTTTTGGTATCAAACATATTTAATATTTATATTTACATACTTAATTTTTAAAATTACCTGTGAATGGCAAATACCTTCTGTATATATTGTCCCCCAAACAAATCAAATCACCAGACATAAACAAAAAACACCTTGCTCTATCACCAAGAATCTAGCAATTATTACTCTTATTTTTAATGTTTTTTCCTCCAACTATTGATTGCTTTCAAAAGAAACTTTAATGTAATTTTTTGACAATTCTCTAAAATTATGTCAACAAATAGTTCCCAAACAGAAAGCTGCTAACAAAATATACCTAACTTGACAATTTCAGGGAATTTTAAATGTAAAAATCAAGAAAAAATATCTCAATCATAGTTAGTTTTAGTATTCTAATAAAAAAATGCATACACAAGATCAAAATCAACATCATCTTTTAGTCTATTCCAACTCATGGTAACCCTATCAGGGTAGGACTGTGCTCCACAGTGCTTTCAATGGCGGATTTCTCGGAGCCAGCTCACCAGGTCTTTCTTCTCAGGAGGAGCTCTGGGGGCGTAGTTGGTCCTACATCATACAAGGTCAGCAGTTCCAATCTACCAGCTGCTCCAAGGAAGAAAGATGAGGCTTTCTGCTCCCATAAAGATTTACAGCCTCAGAAGTTCCAGGGACCAGTTCTACTCTACCCTAGAGTCCCTATAAGTCATGATACACTCCATGGAGTGAGGAATCTGTAAGGGGATTCAAACCTCCAACTTATAGGTTAGCAAAGTACCACATTAATTTTGTATCACCCGGGGACCCCTACATGATTTGCTAGCCAGTGTTTAGCATAACCTTAATTCCACAAAGTTGTGTGTGTATAGTTACAAACCGAATTTATAAAGGGGGTGGGGGGAGGGAGAATTCTACAATCATGATTCTATTTAAAAAACTACATCTTACAAAATTGCTAAAATTACACAATATTGCATGTGGGACATTTTAGATATACAAGGAGGGCAAGGCAGGAGACACTCAATCTAAAAGTAAGTTGACATCCTGGGAATAACTGCTCTGCTTCATTTTATAGGGAAATAATTTACTACAGAATCGCAAATATCCTAACATAAATAAGACATACGAATAAAATGAAATAACACAAAAATCTGTTTCAATATTTAAAATCATATCAAATTGTTTAATTATGAAAACATTCACAATCAGGACAGCTATTGCAAACTATAACAAGTTTCATTAAGTAGAGTAATACAATTAGAGCATTAATTTTCAAAATTTATAAAGTGGAGACTGATACATGTCTAAAGGCTAAAATATATAGCCATGTAAAAATGTTTAATTACTTTTGTAGACCTTCTATTGCCTTTATACTATTTTTATAAAATACTATTTTTATTCCAGAGACCTTGAAGGAAAAGATATATATTTGCCTAAAATCCCTATGTGAAATCTGTAAGAAAATTAATTTTTAAATAAGGAGTTAATTAATCCAATTTAACTGTTATCTATTATATTCCAATCAGATTTAGCCAACTATATGAAGTCTAGAAAAAATGTTGCCAATCATCAGAATAAATTTATTTATTAATAAGTAAACATATTTGTTCAATAAACTTACAGTAAATTGTATAAAGCTCATAATATTTTAATTAAAAGCAATACAGTTTTGATGTACTATGTTGTTGTTAGGTGCCAACAAGAGGTTGACTCAGAGTGATCTTATGCACAACAGAAACACTGCTCCATCCTGTGCCATCCCCACAATTGTTCCCATACTTGAGCCCATTGTTGCAGCCAGTGTCATATCCTTGAGGGCCTTCCTTTCCTCCGTTGCCCCACTACATTACCAAGCATGATGTCTTCCTCCAGGGACTGGTCTCTCCTGACAACATATCCAACGTAAGACAAAGTCTTGCCATCCTTGCTACCAAGGTGCCCTTGGCTGTACTTCTTCCAACACAAATCAGATTGTCCTTTTAGCAGTCCGTGGTACTTTCAATATTCTTCTGCAGCACAATTCAAATGCATGAATTCTTCTTCAGTCATCCTTATTCAACTTTCACATACATATGAGGCAATGGAAAATATCATGGTTTGGGTCACATGTACCTAAGTCCTCACAGTTACATCCTTGCTTTTCAATACTCTAAAGAGGTCGTGGGCAGCAGATTTAACTAATGTAATGAGTCTTTTGATCTCTTGACTGCTGCTTCCAGGAGCACTGATTAGGGATAGAAGCAAGATATCTTTACAACTTCAATCTTTTCTCCATTCATCATGTTACCTACTGGTCCCGCTTGTGAGGATTCTGGTCTTCTTTCCATTGAATCATAATCCATAATGAAAGCTGAAATCCTTGATGTTCATCAGCAAGGGCCATAGGTTGTCCTCACTTTCAGCAGTTGTGTTATCTGCATATTGCAGGTTGTTATTAAGCTTTCCTCTAATCCTGATGCAGCCTTTTTCTTCACATAATCAAGCTTCTCCTTCTGATTTGCTCTGCATACAGATTGAAAAAGTATGGTGAGATGATACAACCCTGATGCACACCTTTCCTGATTTTAAATCAGGCAGTATTCCCTTGTTCTGTTCACACAACCATCTCTTAATCCCTGTACAGGTTTCACTTGAGCACAATAGTGTTTTGGAATTAGCGTTCTTCTTAAGGCTATCCAGAGTTTATAATCCACACAGTCAAATGCCTTGGCATAGTCAATAAAACACAAGTAAACATCTTTCTAGTATTCTCTGACATCAACAATGATAGTGCTTGTTCCATATCCTCTTGTGAATCCTACCTGAATCTCTGGCAGTTCCCTGTCAATGTATTACTGGATTGTTGGATGGTCTTTAACAAAATTTTATTTGCATATGATATCAGGGTCATCTTTCTTTGAAATGGACAAAAATATGGATCTCTTCCAGTTTGTTGGCCAAGTACTGGTCGTTGTCTTCCAAATTTCCTGACATAGCCCAAGGAGCGCTTCACCAGCTTGTCGAAACATTTCAATTGGTACTTCATCAATTCCTCGAGCCTTGTTTTGGCCAATGCTTTCAGTGCAGCCTAAACTTCTCTTTAGCTCTTGCTACTACGCTACCTCCTGAAATGGTGAAATGTTGACCAGTTCTTTTTGGTACAGTGACTCTGTATTCTTTCCATCTTCTTTTGAAGCTTCCTGCATGATTCAAGATTTGCCCATAGAATCTTTTAACATTGAAGCTCAAGGCTTGCGGTTTTTCTTGAGTTCTTTCCATTTAGGACATGCTAAGTGTGTTCTGCTTTTTTGGTTTTTTAACTCTAGGTATTTGCACATTGCATTATATTATTTGTCTTCTCAAGGCATCCTTTGAAATATTCTGTTTAGCTCTTTAATTCCATCATTTCTTCCATTTGCCTTAGCTACATTATGATTAAGAGCAAGTTAGAGAGTCTCTTCTGGCATCCATTTTGATCTTTTCTTTCTTACCTCTCTTATTATTTATCTTTTGCTTTTTTATGTATGGTGTTCTTGTTGTCATCCCTCAACTTTTCAGGTCCTCTGTCATTAGTGTTTAGTGCAAACCTGTCCTTGAGATGATCTTGAAACTTAGGTGGGATAGATTCAAGGTCAAATTTTGGCTCAAGTGGACTTGTTTTAATTGTATTCAGCTTCAATCTGAAATTACATATGCGCAATTGGTGGTTTGTTCTATAGTCGGCTTCTGGCCTGGTATTAGCTGAGAATATTTGAGCTTCTCTAACATCTCTTCTCACAAATGTACTCAATTTGATCTCTGCGTATTCCATCTGGAGAAATCTATAGGTATAGTTGCCTTTTGTGTTGTTGAAAAATAGGAATTTGCTATGAACAAGTCATTGGTCTTGCAAAATTCTATCATGTGATCTTCAGCTTTGTTTCTATCACCAAGACCATATTTCACAACTATTTATTCTTCCTTTTTCAACTTTTATATTCCAATTGCCTATAATTATCTATATTAATTGCATGTTCGATCAAATTCAGACTAAAGACATTGGTCTGAATTCTTCAATTTTTTTTCATCACCAGCTTATGTGGGTGGTGCATAAATTTGAGTAGTCATATTGATTGGATTTCCTTGAAGTCAGATAGGTATTAACCTATCACAGACAGCATTGTACTTCAAGATAGATCTTGAAATGTCCTTTTTGACAATGAATGCAATTCCTCTTGATTGTGCTATTCCCAGGAAAGTAAACCATGATTTTTTTTATTCAAAATGGCCAATACTAGTCCATTTCATATCATTAATGCCTAGGATATAGATATTGATGTTTTCCACTTCATCTTTTACAGTTTCCAATTTCCCTATATTTATACTCGGTACATTCAGGTTGACTGTTGCAGCTATTTTTCTTTGAGTCATGATAGAGTATAGAATAGCAGTTCTCAAAGTGAGTTCCCTAGACTAATATCAGTCTCAAATAAGATCCATTAAAAATGGGTCCAAATTCTTGGACCCCATTCAGGATCTAAACTTATAGGGATGAGGTCTGGGAAATCTGTTTCAATAATTCCCAAAATAATTCTAAGCAACTCTGTGTGAAGCATTAGAAGAGAGAGAAGATTGAGAACGGGCTTTAAAATAAAAAAACACCTGGGTTCTGATCTCATCTCTACTACTTCCTTAATTGTATGTCCTTGAACAAGCTTTCAAAACTTAATTATCTGTAAAATGGGTATGTTGTTGTTTGCTATCCAGTCATTTCTGACGCATAGCAACCGTACAGAACAGAGTAAAACTGTCCCACGCGGTTTCTAAGGCTGTGTCTCTCTACAGAAGCAGACTGCTGCATCTCTCTCCTATCGAGCGGCTGGCACAAGGCTGATGAATTTGAATTGTCAACCTTTTGGTTAGCAGTCAACTCACCAAGGCTCCTAAAGTGGCAATATAAAAGTGAGCTCACAGAGCTATTGAAGAAGTGACACAAAATATATAGAATCGGAAAAATGACAGATACTAAGAAAAAAATTAGGTCCTTTTCATAGTAAGATATTCTTATCAGCATTATATCTATTGCCATAACTGAAATATCATGAATGTCAGATAAACGGAAGATACATTTTTTAAATTATTATTTTGCATTTCACTCAAATAAGAAAAACTATATACTTTCCTAAATGTGCCCAGCATTCTAGTACTGGCAAGGTTATGGGGCGACTTATTTCTAAGAATCAATTTAAAGTAAGGGAGAAAGACTTAAAAACTAATTGCAAAAATCACAGGCATTATAAATCAGGTGCCGTCCTGTCGATTCCAACTGACTACAACCATGCATGTCAGAGTAGAACTGCACTCCACAGAGTGGCCAGTGGCTAATTTTTGATAAGCAGAACACCAGGCAAAGAGCATTCTAAGTCATTATTAACTGGAATGATTTAATATGCAGCACTGAAATTTTAAAATGCCAAAAACAACAGGGAAAATGTTTTGAAATAAAGTGAGATTTGAAGAATAAAATGAAGGACTATAGACTAAAACAGGTAAATATAAATAACCAAGCTTAAATATTAATAAAAAAACAAAGACAAATCAAAGTGGTGATTTATATGATGGAAATCTAATAAATGTTTTCTTTCATAATCTCCTTTAATGTTAATATAATGCAAATGAATGCTAACATTTATTTTGAAGAATGTACTATTAAACATGAAAAAAGTCTGAAGAATAATTTAAACCCATTGCTGTCAGTAATAGGGTTGCTATGAGTGGGAATCAACTGGATGGCAGTGAATTTAGATTTTTTGAGTTCTGGCTGTACGGTTGAAGGACCCCTGGTGGCTTGTTGGGTTAAGCACTGAGCTGCAACTGCAAGGCTGCCGGCTCAAATTCAGCAGCTAACCTGTGCGAGAAAGACGAAGTTATTTGCTCTCATAATCTTTATATTATGGAAGCAGATGGCCAAAAGCAACTAGTGGGTTTGAACCACCAACTTCTTGGTTAGTTGACTAGTGCTTTAACCACTGTGTCACAAGTGTATAAAAGGGAGTAGAAACATAATGGTTTTAAGAAGAAAACATCTACCTTCTTCCCAGTCCTCTTTTTGCTTTAGTCACTTTGCATTGAGTCATTCTCAAGGAAACTCACCAGTTTAACATCTATGCTTGTAGCACCAGCATCCAAGGAGTTCTCAATGAGCTCTTTTACAACACTAACCACTGAAGTGATTATCTGAGAACTTGAAAGGAGGCGAACTGTAGCTGCAGGTAATTGGTTCATTCCAGCTGTTAGCGAAGTAGCTAAAAAAATTAAAATGTAAGTTATAAAATAAAATTTATTGAACATTCCTGACTAAACAACAAAAATAATAATATAAGTAACACTTACAAATACCTCTGAAAAAGGAGCCACTCTTGTCTCCATACTGCACGTGGGGAAAATGAAGCAGAGAGAAGTTAAGAAGCCTATGCGGGGTCATCCAGTTAGCTGGTGGAGGAGCTAATTCTTAATTATAGACTGTCATGCAACAGTTCCTGAATTGAAAATCAAATTACTTCTTATTCCTAATAAGACACAGGTCTAAATATCAGGCTCAGAAAATCCACATTAAAAAAAGGCGTGAGAAATCCACTTTTTTCCTAGTTGCTCTGAGGGCCATTGTGTCTCTTCCACTGCTGACATTGCTCCTAGACTTCAATCACTACCTAGACCCAACGTGCAACAACTAGCTTCCCCTGCCTCCAGTGCTGCCATCAGACTTAAGTCCAGTCATGCACACCCATCAGCTTCTATGCGGCATCCTTTTGTTTCCTGTGTCTTGCACACGAACTTTCTCTTACTTTCATTCTTCCTCCATTGCAAGAATCCAAGCTCTCAGTATTATACAACATAATTTACTAATTAACCTCAAGCCTCCTGAATCAAAGTTCTCCACTTGATTCTGTTGTTAGGTGCCATCGAATTGATTCTCATTCGTAGCAAACTCTATGTACAACAGAGTGAAACACTGCCCAGTCCCACTCTATATTACTTATTAAAAACACTGATGATTACAGCAAAAATAACTACAATTTATGGAATAGCTTTGGCATACTTCACATGTGGAACTGCCTTTAAATGTTTAGTGAACAGTAAGTACTACATATAAATATTACCATTTAAAAGGTAAAAGATAAAGTGGGAGAATAAATTACCAAGCCTAGGTAATTAACTTCTCATGTTCAGAAGGTTTCTCCCTCAACTGTATTTTCCATAATGTCTGTTTCAAGTATCCTTAAGAATGCAATATTCAGCAAAGCATGGAATCATCCAAACAAGAGTATACTAAAATGGTTTTTTGTGTGTATATGTACTTTTTTCAATATTCAGTTTATAAATCACACTGTGGTAATAACTGAAAAACAGTTGTGCTATGAGAATAATGTATGACCTACCTGGTTGGGCATAACCAGTTGGTGTCTTTGACTTGGGATGAGGATAATGACTATCAGTCATGTGCCTTAATGGCAGATGTTTTTAACCATCATTAGTCATCCATATATTCTGATGAGTGCCAATGTCTAATTATTGAGCTCTAGTGGAATATCTAAATTCTAGAAACACTGTAAATCTAAAATGATCAAATAATCATCTCAGTTAATTATTCTAAACACTATTATCCATAAGCATCGTTCTATAAGAGGATATGTAATGTAGGGCAAATTGCCTTCATGAACAATGTCTTTGGTCTCTTTGCCATGAAACCAGAACCACTAGGTGGGACCCAACTACTCTTACTGACAGTTTCAAGTTCTCATAAACTTCAGGCTTTCTGGTGCCGTTAAGGCTGGGTGAACCCGAAACTGATAAAATCTGATGCAATCTCTACAATTTAAACCAAAAATATTCCTTGAAGTTTTCTTGTACTTAAGTAGTAAAACAACACTCTTTTAAGGTCTACCCATATGGAATCAAATTAACAAGAGCTGCTCAAAAGACTGGAAACTTAGGAGGCATTCATGTCTATGTTAATGGGGGAGGAACAATTCAGAAAAATGCAATGAGACGGCTAGACCAGGGGATGTAAACTGGCACAGATAGGAAAACTGGAATCACAGGGAACCCAGGGCGGATGATCCCTTCAGGACCAGTGGTGAGAGTGGCGATACCAGGAGGGTGGAGGAAAGTGGGGTGGAAAGGGGAAACCCATTACAAGGATCTACATATAACCTACGCCTTCGGGGACAGACAACAGAAAAGTGGGTGAAGGGAGACGTCGGACAGTGTAAGATATGACAAAATAATTTATAAATTATCAAGGGTTCATGAGGAAGGGGGGGAAATGAGGAGCTGATGCCAGGTACTTAAGTGGAGAGCGGATGCTTTGAGAACGATGAGGGCAGTGAACGTGCAAATGTGCTTCACACAATTGATGTATGTATAGATTGTGATAAGAGTTGTATGAACCCCTAATCAAATGATTTAAAAAAAAAAAAGAGTTACAAGAAGTGAAAAAAAAAACAGCAATGAGAATGGTTGCAACAATATTCAAAGAGAGGGAGCTGATGTCAAGGAGTTCAGGAAGGAAAAGAATGTTTTGAAATTGATTGTGGCAGCAATTGTACAATACAGCTTGTTGTGACTGAACGATGGAATGATATATCTGTATTAACCCCTAATAAGATGGTTTTGAAAAAAAAAATTTTTTAATACTCAAAGAATATATCAGTGTCAAGTGAATTACTAAACTGGTAAACTATGAAACTGATATATCTTTAATTGGGTATATTCTCAAGAGCAACAACAAAATTCTAATTATGTGACTCTTCAAAGTCAGAAAGACATAGCTCCAATGTCAGCATGATATTCAAGGTCCCTTCCATGATGATCCAACCTGTAAATCCAGAACCTCTATGCTGGTTGTTTAAATGACATGCTTGCTCAAAATAGAGTAAAACCACATATGAAAATCAGATAAGGGAATTGTAGGTTTTATGTCTTAATGCCTAGTTCTAGAAAAAGGAACATGCAATTCCAGAGTCAAGGTTTTCCTGTTACAAAAAGATAAAAACAAAACACACAAAACCTAAGCACCTCCTTAATTTTCCATGAACAGAGGAGCCCTGGTGGCAGGATTCATTATGCTTTGGCCTGCTAACTGAAAGGTCAGCAGTTCAAGTTCACCAGATGCTCTGCAAGAGAAGGCTTTTTGTTCCCATAAGATTTGCAGCCTCAGAAACCCACAGGGGCAGTTCTGGTCTCTCCTAAGGAATCATACTATGAGTCAGAATTAACAAGAAAGCGGGGAGTTTGGTTTGGTGGTTAGTTATGCGCTTACATGATGACTTGACATCATAGCCTCTAGGATTCTTTCTCTGGCATCGTAACACAAGAAACGTTGTGAAAAATAAGACTAATAACTGAGCAAGAAGGAACAGAGATAACAATTATACAGAATTTGATGGAATGTAATTCTCAGAAACCAACATCGTAAGCTCTCAGTAGTGTTAACTGGACAAAATCCGTAACAGCTGTATTTTGCTTCACACAAGGCAAAGATTGACACAATGGAAAAACCTATCAGGCCAGAGAGTAAAAAACAAGTTTTGAGGTTTATCTTTATTATGCATGAACTGAAGCAAACCATTTAAATTCCTCTGAAAAATCACTCCATCATCTTAAATATGATGGTGATAACACCTCACTGGTCTGTAGAGGGTCAGATAAAAACGCCTATGTGAAATAATCTATAAACAATACAGCTCTATAAAATCACAGTGTTATAATCAGAGATTATTATACAGAGAAATAAGGAACACTCTTCTCTAATACTAACAATTACTCTCGAGTTAATATACACATTTGATTTCATTTGGGGTTTTTTTGGGGGGGAGGAGGGACAGTTTTGAGTGAGTGCTGCATACAAACAACTACCATTCAACAGTTATTTGTGGCTCTCAAGGAATGAGAGAGACTCCTCATAAGCCAGGATGTTTCCTGGCAGTGAGGAGGAAGAGACATATCCCAATCCCTGGAAAACAACCTATTTGGTAGAGGGTCAGTGAAAAAGAAGGCCCTAACAAGATGGAATGACACAGCGCCTACAACAATGGGCTCAACTTAACAACAATGGTGAGGATGGTGCAGGACCAAGGCAGGGTTTCATCTGTTGTACATAGAGCTCCTATGAGGAGGGACTGGCCCAATTGCACTTAAGAGCATGAGTTGGTATAGAAGTGTCAACTTGCGAAGGGGTGGAGTCTAGCTTGATGGCCTCATTTGGAGGTGCCAGGGAAATAAATAGCTTACTGGAGGCCAGGTATACACAGACATGCTGCTTGTCTTACTGACAAGCCACGTGGAGATCCTGGCTGGAACAAGAGCCCTGGAGCTGGAAGAACCATGTGGAGACCCACACTAGTGCTAAGATGCTTCCACTGCCACTGCATCCACATGACTTTCCACCCACTGGCCTGCCATCCTCCTGCATTCAGTGTTACTGCATGTTTTGCGTGAGGGTGAAGAGGAAATTATAGACTATGGGCTAATATCGGACTTATAGACTTGATCTGGACTGGGCTGTGATGTTTTCTTAATAGACAATTACTCTTTTATATAAAGGTCTTTCTTATACACATAGATGTGTCTCTGGATTTGTTTCTTTAGTCAACCCATACTAACACAGTCAGAATCAACTAGAAGGCAACAGGCTTTTTTCACAACTTTAAAATGAACAAATCCTCTATCCAACCCTATGTCTAACACTTTCACCTAAGTTTCTGATCATAGAATAGGCTTGGGTTCAGTCTTCCAACTTAGTTTGAAAAACAAAAATTTCTAAGCAAAAATACTCATCAGTCAAGCTTTGGGATTTAAACCTAGCCTTGCTTCCCAACCTCTACTGTTTCTGAGCAGTCTTAGTAATCACTTCATCTTTCTCTCATTCATGACATCTCGTTCCCATATCTTTTATTTCTATATAAATCCCTAATTCTACCCCCCATATTCTTCATTTGTAGTTTAGTAAGATCATGGCAATCCATAGCAAGAACTCTTATCTACACATAATGAGGGGATTTCAAAGAGTTCATGGAAAAATTCCATTTTTTCATGAACTTTTTGAAGGACACTCACACCACCTTTCTCACCCTACTAACACATCTCCTAAAATGTCTACATCTCTACTCATCATCTTCCCCTTCCCTCCGGTCTCAGGTCGGTATCTCTTTGCTCCTAGGCCAGCACTTTCACTTAGTTTCTTGATCCAGACCAGCAGCCATCCAAGGCCTGAAGGCACACATGCAAAAAAATAAGTAACTCTTTCCCTCAGCCCTATCACCCTACCAGTAATTACCTTCCTCTTCTTTTGTAAAGTTTAAATAAGCTATTAATATTCACTGTCATCAACTTCCTATCAATAACTCATTTCTAAAACCCCATTGTACTACCACCAGTGTTGGAACTTTGCTCTGTAAAGTTTGCATATGCTCTAAAATCACAAAATTCTTTTTTTCAGTACCTATGTTCCGTATCTCCCAGAAATCTATTCTCTAATTCTCAAGTATCAAAAGCCTCAATATTCCTTTGCCATCAATCCCTCCCTGTTTAATCCTAAAGTGATCCTACTTATCTTTGTGATCTAATTCTAATACCATTTGTATCATGATTATTACTGATCATTGAAACCAGGAATGATCCTTCCTCCCCCTCAATTCCTAAAGTACTTGGCTTTATTACTCATGGATGCTTATCACACCCATCCTGAACTATATAAAACTTGAAGGCAGGAGAATCTATTATTATGTATCTTTGGATGCCACACAGAACTTCATTACTACTAAGTATTTAATGATATATAATTAATGACTACCAAACATCATTTTATTAGCACCTTTCATGTGTCTACATAAACATTAGGAGTGTGTCCTCCTTCCCAATATTTTACTCTATTTTAAGGCCATGCTATTGACTACTTTATACTCATCGAGGCAAATTTAAAAATCTTGAAGCCATCTTAGAAATTCTTTCTCCTCAGTCTACATCCTGGCACCTTGTACTATCTACCCAATAACACGAGTTTAGTCCTTTCTTCTACAGTTGGTGCTGATCCGGTTTCCCCTTCTGCCCTGAACTACTGAAATAACCAGCTAATGGAACCCGGCTTGAAACATCAGTTGCTCCTTGGAAGACTAGGCTTTCTACTCCTGTAAAGAATTAGTCTTGAAAAGCCACACGGCCAGGTCTAGTGTGGCCTCCAGGGTGGGTAGGAGTGGGAATCAACTTGTTTGCAATGAGTTTGTCTTTTTGTTTATTTTATTTTGTTTTTTTCATCTTAACCAGCTTTTAAGTGTTCTGTTGGGTTCTTTGTAAATATAAATCTCATCACGTTGCTATCCTACTTAAAATTTTCTAACGATATCCATCTCCTAACCGAACGAAATCCAAATTTTCTCAGACCTCTGCCTATCTTTTCAATCTTATTTGACTAGTTCCCATATGCACATCATGCCAATAATGCAATTTAACTTAGTTTGGTGGCACTCACTCATTCCTTATCTCATATAGTTCTATCTCTCTACTATGATTTCTACATATCCCTTCAGATTTAGTTCACTCAAGTCCTTCTTTCCTGCTCCAGAAACACCTTTCCTTATTTCTAATCCAGAGCTCATTTTAGGATAGTGTAGTGATTATTTGTTTGTCTCTTTCTTCACCTCAAGGTTCTATGAGTTCAGAGATATGAGGTCATATCTCTTTACGCAGCCCTTGGCCTATGTCAAGCAATCAACTGTGATGGGTAACAATGATATGTTTTGAAAAAAGAAAGGATTGTCATTCTTACAAGTCAGAGCATGGAATGTTTGAGAATGTCAGAAGAGTCAGTCTTCCATATTTGCTGAGAAAGAGTGCTGATGATCAGTATGGAAGTCAGTTATGGATGGCAGGTATACCTACAAAAATAAAGAGGTATCAGATAACTCATAGACTTTATTGAAGAGAATACAAAGAAATAATTAAAAAATAATAATGCCACCCAATTGTATTCACAGAACTAATAGAAGGCAAGATATAGTATATATAACATTTTCTAACTTAATGTCTAAATGTTAACGGTTATTTTGGCAATGCAGTTACAAACACTTTTGTAAGCTGCCAAAATAAAAGAAATTCCATTGAAAAATCACCTCCATATAATCTAATCACGATTTTCTCAAATAAGGCCAGTTATTAGCATCTACATGGTGCAGTATTTAAGGGCTAGCCTGGCTAACCAGGGCAGTGGTTTGAACCCAGTTGCCAAGAATACGAACTCAAAGTGACCCTATAGGATTGAACAGAACTGTCCTCCCTGGGTTTCCAAGGCTGTAAGATATTTATGAACACATCCTGTCATATTGTTTCTCCTCAAAGCGGATGGTGGGTTAGGAAAGGAGCCCAGGAGCCCTGTCTGGTAGGCGGTTCAAATTAACCAGCAGCTCTGCGGGACAAAGATGAGGATTTCTTCTCCAGTAGCTCGCTGAGTTGGATATAGGGTGTCCAGATGGCATTAATGGGTTAGGTCTTGGGCTCCCATAAAGTTTACAGCTTCGGAAACGCCCATGGGGGCAGTTCTACTCTGTCCTGTTAGATCATTATGAGTTGGAACTGACTCACTGACAGTGAGAGGAGTCGTCTCGGTTTTTTGGTATGGGGCAGTTCTACCCTGTTGCGGAGGGTCGCTGAGTCAGAATCCACTCCAGGTCACACATTTCTTCAGGATGTTGTAAGACAGACAGGTGTCTGTCTTGGGTCTATGAACCCACAATAATAACATCAAATGTGGGTAACTGGAAGCAGTTTTATTTGAGCCACTTGTATACTGCCATAATATTAATATAATAAAACGTCACGTTGACAAAGTATGACTGTCACGGGTTAAATTTTCCACCTGGAAAAGAACTTAAGCCTTGACAATAAGATACCAGGAAGCCGGAGCAATCAGTGGAGGTGGATGCAGCAAAGGCCTCATACACAATGGAGGAGAAAGGTCAAAGGAGGCCCGTCAGCCAGGAGATCAAGCAGACCCTCTCGCAGAGCGTTCTGCACGTGTGCGCGCCCGCCACGCCTGCAGACCGGTACCCACAGGCCCGCTTCCCGCCGGACGGAAGGCGCCCACCGCGGCCCGTGCAGCCCGCCCGCCCTGGCTGAGGAAGACAGGGACGCCCGTTACCCACACACGACCTGCACGCTCGCGTGACTTACGCGATCACCATTCACTCGCGGCGACAGCCCAGCATCCCACCCGCAGACCGGCCAGGTGGAGGGTCGCGCGACCCTGACTCGCCGTAAGCGCGCGCTCCCCAGCGGCGCGGCGGGGCGGGGCGGGCGCGGACGTGGGATTGGCGCCGGCCGCAGCCAATCGCGTGGCAGCGCATTCAGTTCGGGCGGGCTTCCGCAAGCTGTACTGGCCAGTGGCACTCGGCCTGTGCGCAGACGCCGGCGCCGCTGGGCTGGTGCTGCTCGTGCCGGCGGCGGCAGCAGCGGGCAGTGGGCTGGCAGGTGAGTGGGCGACCACCGGCCTTGGGGTCGTGCTTCTGCCGTGGTCTCGTGGGGGGCTGGTGGGGGGCCAGGGTCGGTCTACTGGGGGCGACTGGGCCGCGTCCGCGGCGTCCTCGCTGCGCCGGCCAGGTCCCGGTCGCTAAGGGGTGTGCAGCTCCTCGAAGGGTGGGGGAGGCGCTGCGACGGTAGCAACAGCGGCTTTTGCTGAGCTTTCCACTGGCCGGAGCCCTGATGCCGGTCGGTCTGTCTGTCTGGCATGCGGGGTCTGCCCAAATTGACCGCCGACGTGGAGGCACCGCGAAGGCCGAGCCCAGCCGAGAACGCAGTTCACTCTTGAGAGTCATTGTTTGGGTGGCTTAAGGTGCCGAGCGCCCTCAAGCCATTCAGACACAGGAGACCTGCTGGGCAAGGTTTTCCGAATTTGGGGAGTCCGGGCAGGACCACGGCAGCTTTGTCTTCAGACTAAAATGTGAATTGTAGGCCCTGGAGCGTCTCCATGCAGTAGAAATTGTGTGATAGGAATACTGTCCGGTAAACGATGGCTGTTTGGGGGTCTAAGAAAAATATTGACACTTATGAATCAGATTTTTTTTCCTTCGTTTTAATGCCACTTTCTGTCCATGTGTGTTCTTAATGGATTTTTGGAGGAGGGCATTATTTTACTTAGGAAGCACTGGCTAAATGAAATTATGAGAAATGCCTGACACTGCCATCTGCAAGAACCAAAAACAAAACCACTGCCATTCAGTCTAAAGGGCTTCTGTATAGTCAAGCCAGAGCTGTCCAAATATAATAATGCCGTTTCCCCTTCAACCCCCCTATAATCTCTCTGATCAGTTTATGCTGGGATGAAAAGTATTCTTGAGCATAGTTAAAACAAAACCAAACTCATTGCCGCCCAGTCGATTCCCTATTGGGCTGAGTAGTACTGCCCCTTAGGGTTTCTGAGATTGTAACTCGATCCCGGTGTAGAAAGCCTCATCTTTCTCCCTCAGAATGACTGGTGGTTTTGAACCGCAGACTCTGTGGTTAGCATTCCAATGCAACCAACAGAGATACTCAGGTCTTCCTTTGGTGTTCGTCTTGAACTTAAAAAGGGAAGGAAGACTCGAAAGAAAAAGCAAAAAGCAGAACAGACACTGCTTCAAATACCTAATTGCATCACATAATTGAGAAAGAAGCATTAGATACAACTTTCTATTCTCATAAAGATTTCCAATCTGGGAAACTTACCCTATAGGAATCCTGGGTTGGAATCGACTCCATGAGAGGTAGTCTTTTGGGGTGGGTTTATTTTTTTTTGGGGGGGGGGGTTTGTATGTGTGTGTGTAACACTTTTTAACAGCAAGTTCCTCCTTAGAGATTTGAACTCCAATCACTCTATGGATCTAAAATTACATCATAGGCGATTGGTTATTCAGAACTGGCAAATCGGCTGTGTTTTATGTTATTTATTCTTTTTTTAATATTTATTCTGTTGGTGGTAAAATTCACCTCTGCCTTTTCATTTTGCTATGATGAAATAAGAAAATGTACAGTTTTTGCCCATTATTTCATTTAAGAAAAGTAGCATGCTAGGAGAATAAGGAAAAGGGATTTTTTAGTATGTTTTTACATCAGAAGGTAAGTCTTGTCTTTTCAAAGTCAGATGCCAGCATCTGCAAGTAGCATGCTTAAGAGGGTATGTGTCTTCTATTTCAGACCAGTTATGAAAGGAATAATCCTAGTAACACAATCATTTTTTTCTAGTCAGAATTAAGTTTGTCTCAATTTACAGTTTTATGAGTGTGAATTGATTTTATTGATTATCGACAGAGCAAACATGAATGTTGGAGTCGCCCACAGCGAGGTGAATCCTAATACTCGTGTGATGAACAGTCGTGGTATGTGGCTGACGTATGCATTAGGAGTTGGCTTGCTTCATATTGTCTTACTCAGCATTCCCTTCTTCAGTGTTCCTGTTGCGTGGACCTTAACAAATATAATACATAACCTGGTAAGAATTTCACCTAATACAGAATATGTTGTAAAAGCTTACAAATTTTGTTATGAAGGAAAAACCACATGACTTTGTTTTTTAAAGAAATTCTGTTAAGGCGTATTTCACATACATAAATTTACCGATTTAAAGTGTACCATTCAGTGGTTTTTAAAAAATGGCTTAATTTGGAGAATTCTAATCTGGGATAGAAATTATTTTTTCTAAATTTGGAGAACTCCAATCTGGGAAGAATTTATTGTTTCTCTCACTATTCAACACTGAACCATTTTTGTGAGTAGGCCTTTTTTTCTTTCCCACTGACCTTACAGAATCTAGAAAAACTATGTCATTTTAGCCAAAATTACAAGATTCTGTAATTCGAGCTACTATAATATTTTGATTAACCAGCATACTTCAGATGAGGTAATAAAGCTTTCTGGTTAACTGGAGTATAATGAAAACCTTTGCTTCCAATACTGGTTAAGTCTTTCTAAATTGTACAAGTACACTCTCCTGTTTCAATATACTAGAGTTGAACATCATCCTATCTTATGTGATCTAGGATCTTCATGTTAAAGATCATTCTCTTATGTTATATAGAAACTGCAAAGTATTGACCTTATTGACTACATTATACAGCCCTGGAACATGTCTCTTTACTGATACAGTATTTCTTCTCTTTATCAGCTTATTAAAGTAGGATGAAAGGGAAAGATTCAACTAACAGGTTTTGGGTTTTTTTTTTAATTAAATCATTTTATTGGGGGCTTGTACAACTTTTATCACAATCCACACATACATCCATTGTGTCAAGCACTTTTGTACATGTGTTTCCCTCATCATACTTAAAACATTTGCTTTCTACTTGAGCCCCTGGTATTCGCTCCTTTTTTCCCCCTCCCTCCCTGCTCCCCCCTCCCCCGTGAACCCTTGATAATTTAAGATTATTTTGTCATATCTTACACCATCCAACATCTCCCTTTACCCACTTCTCCACTGTCCATCCTCCAGGGAGGAGGTTATATGTAGATCCTTGTAATCTGTTCCCCCTTCTGTTTTAATTGAATCCAAATTAACTTTCCCCCTCCAAACATCCAAAGATTAAAGAACTTAATATAAGAAATGTAATTAAAGTAGAATTTGAAAAACTGAATGAGACTTTTTTATATCGTGGAGAGTATTTGAAATTGACAGCAAAAGGAGTATTCAGCTGGCGGAAAGGATAAGTGAATGCTGTTTAGTCTTTTTTTTTTTTTTATCTTATTGACTTTGGTAAGGCAAATATTATTTGTTTTCAAACAGTAATTTTTCTGAAATGCTTGACACTAATCATGACCCTTTTATTAAACTTTTTTTTTTTTTACCCCTTTTGGCTTCCATGACATTGCATTCTCCTAGAGATTTCTCATTTTACTTCATTCCCTTTGCAGGCTTCCTGTGTTTTCCTCTCAGAATTGTTGTTCAAAAAGTTCCTTTTTTCTCTTGCTATGTATTTCGTATTTTCCACCGCTAGCTTTAGAATGACAATGCCCTTATTTATGTTTGCAGATCACCATGTACTCAAAGCCAAACAAATATAAGTTAAATTCATCTCATCTTATTCCTGGTCTATCTTTTACCACCTCCAATCTGTTCTTCTGACTATACTCATCATTTTATCTAAAGGTACCACAGTCAGTCCAATTAACCAAGGCAGATACCTGAATGTTGAAGGTAAAGTGGCAATTTAGTATGTTACCAGAACTGTCCCAGTCAAAGTAGGACAGGTGGCCGCTGTTAGGGGTAACTCCTTTTTTCCTTTATATTCAAAACCTTGTCTCTGCTGCTGCTTTACCACCTCTCCATGTGATCTCCACAGGCATCGCTGTAATCCATGCCCTCATTTTCTCCTCAGGTGGATTACTCCAGTAGATCAAATGATCTTGCTACCCTCACCTTCCTCATTCCAACTTTAATAAAGGGATATGTTTTTAAAAGTCTATCTGTTTAAGTCATGCTCTATGTCCTTGAGTGACAATGTGATAAAATCCCAACTTCCTTGTGGAGCTTACAAAGCTAGTTAATACCACTGCAGAGGCTGACAGGATCTCACTCATATCTGCCATCTCCAAACATGTACTATCCTTTAACAGTAATAAAAATCAACCTTTTTGTTCTGGCTCAGGTTTCTTCCACTATTTTAATACCCTGATTTCAACTTGTCCAGCAAATCTCTACTCAGTCATTAGCTCGTCCAGGAATCTACTTAACTCCAAGTCTACATTTCTTTTTGTTTTATTCACCACCACCGCCATCTGTCCCCACCCCACCTACATTTCTTATAATTTTACACTTGGTAGTTTATCCTTTTTATCTTCTAATTTTCTTTATCTCTAAAACACCTATTTAAATGTTTGCTGAGTGAGTTATTGCCACCCACCTTCTCCTTCTCCTTTGGCATGTGTCGCGTTTTAGAAGTCATTTCATTGACCATTTGATGTTTTCAAGTTGCTTGACCAGGATTGAGTCACAGTGTATGACCATGGACAATGGATAGGTAATTGGCACCATGTAGGCAAACAAACATCTGACTTACTCGTGTTCCACACTAACACTTAGATGTAGCAATTATATGACTAGATTTCTTTTAAAGATGGATACAATTAAACCAATGAATACATCAAATACATGCTGAATACTTTTAAATACAGGAAATAAATCTAGTTGTTACTCTTGGCTTAAAAACACACCATACCTTTCTGAACCATACAGTAGAAACCCACAGTATTTTTAAATTCAGTGATAAAATTTCCTGTTTGAAGTATTTATGCTTCACAAAATTTCTGATGCAGTTTTTTAAATAAATGAGAATTATCTACATTTTAAGTCATATTTATTAAAGGTTAGCCATGAGCTGGAGTCCTTGGTAGTTTAAGTTTGGCAGCACAAAGATGTATCAGAAGAAAAGCCTAAAAAAATCAACCACTAAAAACTGTGGAACACAGTACTGTTGTGTCATGCATGAGATCTCTGTGAGGCAGAAATGATTTGAAATCAACTGGTACTGATAACCATGAGCTACATGCTTTCCCTCTATTGTTTTTGATGTGGCCATAAAGCGTCACTAAAGTTTTTATATAAAAACTATTAAAAATGAACATTGGGGTATGGGAGATCTATAGTCAGATGAGATTTTCATTTTATCTCTGAAAAGGATTCATGTGAAATCCCACTTCCCATCTGGAGTGGCCCTAAGCGATGGTTATGTGATTAAATGGAAGAAATTATGAGACAGACAAAAGTTTGGGGTGCTCACTTCCCCCATGACTTCAGTAGCCAGATCTGTGGTGCGAGAGAGAGAAAGAAATTATTCCCAATATCATTTTATATACCTTTGGGGCGTGCAATCCCCCATAATTACAGATAACCACATACTTAGCAAAGTGGGCTGGATCCTTACCCCTAGAGGTTCCTGAGTTCATTGGATGAGTAACCTAACACCTGTGCTGGGAGCAGGTAAAGGGGAGTGACTGTCTTATGAGCCTTGAGAGTAATAGCAGGTGTCTGCTCCATAGTTAGAGCTGCCTGTCAGATAGCAATCAACCATGTGCTTCTAAGAAGTAACATTAGGGTAACACTATGTATGAGAGAATTATGAGGGATCAATATTATGAGAATGTGATTGAGACTCATCTCTAATTCACAAGTGTAAAGGCCTCCCTTTGCTTCAGAATCCTGGCCTGCCAGGCTTCTTAAAATACGTGAATAAAGAATTTGTCCGCATACACTCTTCCCAGTCCTCTGTTTCCCACATTTCTACCTTTTATGTATAAAATTCTAAAGAGCCATTGAGGTTATATGACTTTTTTTCATATGCCTTAGCTGTCTATAGAACCAGCATATGGTTGCAAGGACAAAATACAATAAGCAATAGAGTTAATACTAGGACTAAACTATGCAAAATGCTTTGGACCCAGGGACATGGGCCAGGCCTCTCTAAGCCATCCACCAATTGTTTAATTACATCTGAGCTAGAAGATGGATGGCTCTAGCCATCCTTAAATTATAGATATTTTCCCTTTTTAGCTGAATAACATATAAAGAAAAGTTTCCCTCTAATCCCTCCAAATGATTTCTAATTAAAACCCAATTATATAAGGTGTATGTTGTACAGGTTTGCAATAAAAAAAAATTTGCAACGTTCCAGTCCATTTCAACTATCATTTAATGTTGTAAGTCCATATTTTGATCTTTCAGCAAATGAACAGTCTGTTGTAATAGTCCAGTCACTTTTGCATAAAATGTTCAGTTATGATTGAGCCCTAAGACAGCATCAACAATGGTAAAAATGATTCTAAGTGTGAAGAGGCAGCAATTGCCATTAGCAGGAGTCTGCGAGATCCTTTTGTTGTCTTCTACAACTTCAGCAACAGGACAGAAGTCTCTGTGTTGTTTTCTCAATTCTCCCATCATGGCATCAGTGTCTTTCCTCTTCTGGGCCTGGCTGGCTAAAGAGAAATTCACTTATCTCCTCGCCCGTGAAAACATAAACAAACCGGCCCTCCCTTTGGGCTGTTAGCATCCTGAAAACAGAATCGTTGTTTTTTGTTGTTACCAATATTTTACTACAGTATTTTCTTAAAGCAGAGGAGGAAACAAGCAAATAACCAATCAGGATATTAAGTGTTAATATTAAGGATATTAACAATAAAACAAACAATCAAAATTACATGAGAGCTAATTTTAAAAATTCAACAAGTTGTAGGACATAATGATTAACACAAAAGTCAGTTGTATTTCTTTCTTTTCTTTTTTTCCTTTTTCTCCGAATCTGATTCATGGGGACACCATATGTTTTATTTAAATGTTGTTGATGATGGCAACATATGTACAAGTGTGCTAAATATCATTGAATGATGGATTGTTAAAGATTTGTAAGAGCCAAAAAATTAAATAAAAAAAAAAAAGATTTGTAAGAGCCTTCCCCCAATAAAATGATTAAAAGAGAAAAAAGAAAGAAATTAGTTGAACAACCCCAGACAAGGCAAATAAAAAAACAGAACCATTGTTAAGATTGGGTGGTTTCTTCATTTTTTATTTGTCCTTCATCTTTTTCCACACGTGGTTGCATCCTCCTAAGGGGCATCCATCTGCTTTCTTCTGCAGAACATAAGCAAATAGCCCAGCTTCTGTAAAGTTGATAGCTTACTTCATACTTACTTTGATGCCCTGCTTTCCTTTCCTGCTCTGTAGAGGTTCTAAAATCATCTTAAATTGTGCCTGGAGAAACGATGTCTCCATGGGGATACTCTGCCCCTCTCTGTGCGCTTAAAGTTTTATAGGGACCTTCTCCCGGGTCTCTAGATCAAAAGTTCCTTCCTTAGGAAACCGTGGATTATACCTGTTTGCTACTTGTTAGAACCTTGCATCTTTTTGCTTATTACTATTACAATCTGCTTCTTCAGTAGGTGGGTGAGGGTAATAGAGTAAGCTTTAAATATACTCTCACCAAGACCCATTTTTCTATTTAAATGTTTATCCCTCAACTGGACTCTCACTTCAAAATAATTTCCCCGATTCACCCTGCCATCTATTGAGGTTACACAACTGCCTGATACAGGGATTACTTGGGGGCCATCTTAGTCAGTAGCGCCTTATGTGAACGGTTGTGTAATTAAAGGGAAGAAATTAAGAGTCAAAAGTTGAGCCAATATTAAGGGCTTAAGTAGAAGGCAAATGTTTTGAGAATGATGATGGCAACAAATGTACAAATGTGCTTGACACGGTAGATGGATGGATGGATGGATTGGGATAAGATTGTACAAGCCCCCAATAAAATGAATTTTTTTTTTTTAAGTCAAAAGTTTTGGGGTGCTAAATGCAAGGTCAGTAGTTCGAAACCACCAGCCTCCGCTGGAACAAGATGGGGCTTTCTACTGTTAAGGATTGTAGTCTAGGCAACTCACTGGGGCATTTCTACCCTGTATTATAAGGTCGCTGTGAGTTAGAATCAACTCAAGGGCAATGAGTTTATCATAAAGCTAAGGGTCACTAGTGGCATAGTGGGTTACTTGAACTAGTAACCACAATGTCAGCAGTTTGAAACCACCAACTGCTCAACAGAAGGAATATGAGACTTTCTACTCCTGTAAAGAGTTGTGTTCTCACAGAAGTGGGTGAAGGGAGACATCGGGCAGTGTAAGGTAAGATCAGATAATAATTTGTAAATCATCAAGGGTTCATGAGGGAGCGGGGAGGGAATGGGGATTAAAGAAAAATGAGGAGCTGATTCCAGGAGCCCAAGCAGAAAGTGAGTGTTTTGAGAGTGATGAGGGCAACGAATGTATAAGTGTGCTTTACACAATTGATGTATGTGTGGATTGTGATAAGGGTTGTATGAGCCCCAATAAAATGATTTAAAATCCACAAAAGCAGTTCTACCCTGTCCTGTAAGGTCAGTATGAGTTGGAATCGACTCATTGACAGTTTTGTTTTTGTTTTTTATCCTAATGTTTACTGATAAAAACTAATTATGTATTCGATATTGATTAGATACTTTCTTATTTTTCAGGGGATGTATGTATTTTTGCATGCAGTGAAAGGAACACCTTTTGAAACGCCTGACCAGGGTAAAGCAAGACTCCTAACTCACTGGGAACAGCTCGACTATGGAGTACAGTTTACATCTTCACGGAAATTTTTCACAATTTCTCCAATAATTCTGTAAGTGGTATAAACTTTAGGTATGGGGAGAATTGGATGATAGGAACACATCTTTTATCAGATTGAATTTGAATTAGAAACAGTATATTGTGAAAAACGCTTCTAAGTAACTAGGTGTAAAACTACAGGCCAAACTTTTAATAAATTTTCACATCAATATATATGAACAATACATTACATGATAGACATTTTCAGATATATAAGTAAAAATCTAATTTCGTTCTTGTCTTTAGCTTGCTTACAAAAAAACTAAGTACATATTCTACATCTCATTATCAGACTAATCGCCCTAAATACTGAATTGGATGATTGCAGAAGAATTTCGTTGACCACTCATTCCCCAATTGGATGTTCAAACTTCTTTTGCAAGACAGTATGGCTTAGAGAAAAAAAAGGTCAGGATTTCATTGTAGGATAGGCATGGACTAAATGGTTTGCTACTTTATAAAATGGAGCAAATAACACCTCAGTGCAGGTGAATTGAGAAATAATTGAGATCAAATCTATCTGAATGTGCTTGGCTACTCATTAAAAGGTTGGCAGTTCAGGTCCCATCAAGAGGCACCTCTGAAGGAAGGTCTTGATGATCTACTTTTGAAAAACTAGCTGTTGAAAACAGCCACTGGCAGCAAACACCTAACCGTGCATCTGATAAATAATTTCCTCCTCCTACCTAATATCCAGGGCCTTCCACTAAATGGTTCCTTAATCCTCACCTGACTCCCAGCTGGTCAAACTCTTCTAAGGAGCTTTTTTTTTTAAATATTAAATGTGTAGTATTATTTCTGTATCTTTGTTCAAATAATTTCTTTTACCTGAAATGACTTCCCAATTCATAATTGATTTGGCGCTATATCTGCTGCCTCCACATTCACACATTCAACCAACTGTAAATTAACAATCTGAGGGAAAAAGCAATTAAGTGGTCAAGACAATCCCTCAGAAGATAAGAGGGAGATACAGTGCTCTTTACATTGTATTGGGTATTGCAAGTAATCTAGAGGTGATTTACAGATTACAAAATAGATTATATATGACACTTTTATATACTATACTTTTGGTCATTAGAAGTCTCATTTCCTCATTTATAAAATACAAAGAATGACATTTAATACGTACAAATCCTGACTAAAAAATAACAAAATCACTGCCATCAAGTTAAGTCCAACTCAAAGAGACTGGAACAGAGTAGAACTTTCCTGTGGGTTTCTGAGACTGTAACTCTACAGGAGTAGAAAGCCCCGTCTTTCTCCCACAGAGTGGCTAGTGGTTTTGAACTGCTGACTGCAGTTAGCATCCCAAGGTATAGCCAGTATGCCACCAGAGCTCCTATAAATCCTGGCACAGATAATACATATTCAATAAGAGCTAGGATAGGAAAGTCAGCCTGTTTACAACCTTCATATTTACAAAAGTAGATTTTTTTACCCACAGATATGATTTCAAACATTTCATGATTACATTGTTTACATAACTGAAGAAATAGCATTAAATCCATCTATGTAGCATTGACAATTTTCAGAGTGCTTTCCCATTTTCTTATTTGATCATCATGTGTGAGGTAGGTGGGAAATGCAGTGTTGCCCCAGGCTTTTAGGTAAACAGACCCAACTGCGTGATCCTACTCTTATTATTTCCAACTTGTTAAATTACAGATTCAACCAGTAGTGATATTTAGATAGTGCATGATATTACTAAATCGAATCTTAATTTGTTCAGTGAGGAGAATTTAAAGTCATTATTGAGGAATATAGTTTATCCTCAAAGAATTCTCTGATTCTGTAGTTTGTAAAGTAAGTAGAAATTTATAGAATTTTTCATTGTAGGTGATTCTGAAAACTATGCATACATCTCTCTCTCTGGTGTTTTTATTCATACTTAAAAATAAGTTTCTTGTTATGTCTCCTTATGAGAAGCTAATGATGATAGAGAAAAAGTTCTTAGCATACTGTGCTTGTTGATGTCTAAAAGTAATTAGAAAGGCACCCATATGTAATCTAACTTACTAGTTAAAATTAAGTAAGGTGTACTTACTTGCAGTTTTAGTCTTAAGACACTAAGTTGTCAGATAATGAGTCTGCCCTATGATAAACCCTTGGTTAAAACTAGACTGGCCATTCTGACTTGGTGATTTGTAAATTTAAAACCAAACAAAACCCACCCACTGTCTTTGAGATGATTCCTATTCATAGTAACCGTCCATAGCAGTGCTTCCCAAAGTTTGTTATGCTGCTCTGTGGGTGGTGCCTGCAACAAAAACACTATTCTGGATTGGACTGTAGAAGAACTGATTTCATTGTCAGAAAGGTGCTGAAAAGGAAGCAGTAGGCCAAAATGAGCTTGGAAACTATCTTACAGGGTTTCCAAAACTAAATCTTCATAGGAGCAGACAGGCTCATCTGTCTCCCACAGAGCAGGGTAGATTTGAATCATTGACCTGGTGGTTTGCAGCCCAACACCAAACCCACAGCACACCAAAGGTGGCTTAGGCTTGTGGAAATACATTCTCAGATATTAGATGTCTTTAAGTGTGTACATGTACTCAGCTATAGCAGAACAGCTGGGACTTTACAATATGCCTTTCAAGACTCCAGTTAAACTGTTTATGTGCCTGTTCAACTACAGTGTGGAAATTAAATAATCAAAAGGGCAACTAAGTATTTGTTTTCTTTCAAAGATACTCAGTTGTACTAATCACATTAGAACCTCATTTTTCAAAGTGGTTCTTAAACAAAATCCTTTGAAAAGATGATGGATGCTTTGGATCCAGATGGTACCTTTTTATATATAATAGTAAATAGCAAAACTACATCTCAAATTATAAGGGGAATCTGAACTCTAGTTTGAAAGCTTCCTACTGTAAGAATTTTAAAGTAGTAATATGCTTTATTAAATGCATATGTCATAAATCCAAGCATGTAAAATGTACACATAGTTTCATTGAATTTTAAAATCAAATTAACTTGGACCCAAACTAAAATATGTCCCATTTTCTTAGTGCTCAAGAACAATTCTACTTTGAAGTACTTATGTTTCAGCAACCTCTTTGTTACCTCTTGATTTTCTTTTATTCTGAGTAATTTCACGTTTATTTATTTATTTATTTATTTTATCATTTTCTTTTTTTTTTTTTTAAACATTTTATTAGGGGCTCATACAACTGTTATCCCAATCCATACACACATCAATTGTGTAAAGCGTATTTGTACATCATTTCTCAAAACATTTTCTCTCCATTTAAACCCCCGACATTAGGTCCTCATTTTTCCCCTCCCTCCCCGCTCCCCCCTCCCACATGAGCCCTTGATAGTTTATAAATTGGTATTTTGTCATATCTTGCCCTGTCCAACGTCTCCCTTCATCCACTTTTCGGTTGTCTGTCCCCCAGGGAGGAGGTCACACACAGTTCCATGTAATCGGTTCCCTCTTTCCTACCCATTCTCCCTTTACCCTCCCTGTTTTGCCACTCACACCACTGGTCCTATAGGGCTCATCCATCCTGGATTCCCTGTATTTTCAGTTCCTATCTGTACCAGTGTACCTCCTCTGGTCTAGCCAGTCTTGCAAGATAGAATTCGAGTCATGGTAGTGGGAGCGGGGAGGAAACCTTTAGGAACTAGAGGAAGGTTGTATTTCTCATCATTGTTACATCGCATCGCACCCTGACTGGCTCATCTCCTCCCCGAGACCCCTCTGCAAGGGGATCTCCAGTGGCCTACTAATGGGCTTTGGATCTCCACTCCACACTCCCCCCATCATTCACTATGGTAATATTTTTTGTTCTGATGATGCCTTACACCTGATCCCTTCGACACCTCGTGGTTGCATAGGCTGGTGTAATTTCACTTTTAGATGTTACATCTTAACTTTTTATTTCTACAGATATTTTCTGGCAAGTTTCTATACGAAGTATGATCCAACTCACTTCATCCTGAACACAGCTTCTCTCCTGAGTGTGCTAATTCCCAAAATGCCACAACTACATGGTGTTCGGATATTTGGAATTAATAAGTATTGAAATGTTTTGAAACTGAATTAAAAATTTTAGGGCAACTCAGTTTCCTGTAAGGACAGAGTAGGCCGTATACTGCACTGTTTCTGTGAAACTGCAAAATGAGAGGTATATACATTTGGGGGCCAATTGTTGGTTCTTCATATGCTGTTTTGAAGTGCAGATTTTACTCAACGATACCTCTTTTCTGTTTCTGGTGTATTTCTTAAGTAAAGCTTTGCAGGAAGGCTGGGCAGGCCTAGCTCCTAAGTTAAATGGATGTACAGTGAGGGTCTATTAGAGAAATCCAAAGTAAAAAGAGATCTGTAAAAACCTAGGACTAACTTAGTTATAATGAATGGGCATTATGTTAGGAGAAGAAATTTTCCAATCAATCAGTTATGGTCATTTTAAGCAGACTTAAGCATGTAAACCATAATCATCTTTAAAAGTTTTTATAAAGTGTTTTTACTACCATACCCTTTTGTTTTATACAAGCCAATTTCTACCTTATTTTATGAGCATATTTTTGTGGGGTTTTTTTTTCCTCAACAATTTGCATTAATAGACAAGGCCATCTTCACATTAAGTTACTGAGTTTATGAAGGTCCACCTTGATGACTGATGAATGAAATAAGATACATTATAAACAGTCTTTGAGTCAAACTTATTCTGGAACAAAAGGTTTGCTGCCTTATTAGAGTATGAGGCTACTAAACCAGTTAAGAAAATAATTTATTTCAAGCAGTTAAAATATATACTAATGTAAACTTCTCTGCTTATTTGGCTAAGCGACTTGTTAAAATATGCCATTTAGAAAAGAAAATACAGCCTGTGGTCTGGCAGAAACCGCTTCTCTAGCCTTACTAAGTAAGTAGTGGAGCCTTTACTTACTTGCAGGAAACAAAGCATCACTATTCCTTAGTTTTCCTGCTTTAAATCTCCATATTTTACCCATTAAATTTTTGGCTTTTCAATAAATATAGATAACCCCAAATTGTAATTATTTCCAAAGCAGTAACCAGATTGATAAACTTGTGATAGGGGAAGTTTCCTATAATTAATCACAAGAAATAACTATTTACAATTTTGAGAATTTAACTTTTAAAAAACAAAACCAGTTCTGGTATAGAATGAAACCGAAAAATACAGTAATATTTGTAAACAAAATTGAAGAATTTTAGAACAACTTGAAAATCAATTTGTTTCAATAAAATGACTTTTGGGGATAATGATCATTGTTTTGTATTTCAAAATTATTGAGTTTAGAAATCAATTGTATGATACTGCCTTTGTATGTTTGTCTTTACTCATGTGTTTTTTAAATAACGTAATCTACACACTAATAAAACTTTTCCTTATTTCAAAGGTTCTCCAAATTCAGTCATGAAAGTTACTTTTTTTTAAAAAACTTATTTTTAAGCAATTGAATTTGTAAAACGAAGGTAACCAAAAAGATTCCTTAAATTTTTTAATTTTAAACAATTTTAAAACAACTTTATTGTTTAAAAAATATTTGTTCAATAGATACTGAAGGTCTGCTCTAGTCTCACAGTAAGCCCATGTGTGCAGAGTAGAAATGCTCCATGGGGCTTTCAAGACTGGTCTTTCAGAAAGAGATGGTATCTCTGAGTGGGTTTATAATGCCAGCCTTTTGGTTAGTAATCAAATGCTTAACCATTTGTGTCACTCAGGGAGTTGGAATGAACTCAAGGGTAACTAACAGCTCTGCTAGTTATTGTTCTAGGTGTGGATACAGCTTATAAATGAGAATAGGTAACAGATGAGTCCACAAGCACACGATAAATGCTGTGGAGTGGAAATAGCAAGTGAAGGAGGAACTACTTTAGAAAGGTCATCTTGAGGATCCTACTTAATAAGGTGACATTTGGATATAGATCTTACTGACATAAAGGAGCAAGCAGTACAGAAATAATTAGAAGAAGTGTATTCCTGATAGAGGTACTGCCATATAAGGTTCTGTAGCAATAATAGGTTGGTATGTTGGAGAGGAAGAACAAGACTAAGGCTATAAATAAGCAAGGAGAAAGAATGGTAACAAATAAGGTCAGAGGATAAGCAGGGGCCAGATCTTACAGGCCTTTGAGACAAAGGCAGAGTGGAGTTTATCTAAGTGTGACCAAGTCATTGGAGAGTTTATACAGTTGACTAAAAAGACTATAAAAATGGCATGGCGGGGCCATCTGACTTCTGACTTTACACAAGGGGACGGAAAATCAACTCACTCTCAGCCCAAGGCTGGGTCCTGAGGCAGGAGGTCAGAAATGCCTCCACCTTCTTTGCTCCTTTACTAATTCTGACACTAGCTGTCCTTCCCACAGCGTTTTACTTATTGGCTGGCTTCTATAATCCATTACAAACTCATGAATAATGAGTTTGTTAGAGAAGCTAACAGGTTGCAAATTAGGATCAGGAATACTTAGGATACAGTTCTTCTGGTCAGGAGCACCTCTTCTCAGCTGTGCTAGCAGGAAACACCTCTCTGGTCCTTGGACTCTGCCCAGGACTGCAAGTATTACAAAGCTCCTTTAGCCTAAAGTGAGTTAGCAAACCTCACTCACTGACATTAAGTTAATTGTGAATCATAACAACTCTATAGAGCAAAGTAGAACTGCCTCTTGGTTTTCTAAAACAATCCTTATGAATTCAGACAACCTCACCTATCTCCTGCAGAGTGGCTGGTAGGTTCAAACCATTAACCTAGTGATTAGAAGCTCAGTTGAGTGCATTTCCCACTACATTACCAGGCTGCTTTAGCAAAGCTAGCACCCCTAATTAAGGTTCCTGGAAGCATCCAACTCTACATGTCATTTGCCTGAAAGCATTCAGCTTTACCTGCTCGTGCTCCAGGAAGTCCACAGCTCTGTCTTGTGTACTTGTTTCTTTTGCTGCCACTCCTGGTGTCATACCTTTATCTTCTGGATTCAGGTTCATAGTGCAGTGTTCTTCAAGTCCAAAGGTGGTGCTCAGCTCCTGATTCTTTCTTAGTAGTAATGAGATTCCCAATCCCAGGCACCCAATTTGCATGATCCCTCTGTGTCTTTTGGTGGAAGTTACAAAGATTATTGCTGAAGAGCCTGAGTTAGTTAATTGTGCCAGCCTGGCCGATAATCACATGTGGTGCTGGTTGAAAGGCGGAGGGATAAATGGGTGGTGAAGCCTCGCCTTTCTAGTTCTCGGGTCTCTTGTTTTGTGATGGTTGCATCGGGTGCAGCTGCCTTAGCAGTTCCCTGCTTCAGCTTGCAAGATGGATTTCCTACAAGACATCCCCAAGGAGAAGCCGCATGGATCTATCCCGATGCAGCCCTGGGTGCTGGAGCAGCCATGAGGAGACCCCTGCCAGTGCTGAGATGCTTACACGTTCACTGACTCAGCTTTCCTCCTGCAGTCGGCATTATTGCCTCTGTTTTGTGAGGTGAAGGACTTTGTGGACTGGTGTTGGGTATGGGTTAATGTTGGACTTGTGGGCTTGGGCAGCATTGGGTTGGGATGTTTTCGTGATGCACATTTTCTTTGCATAAAACTCTCTCTTATACATGAGTCGCTGTGGATTTGTTTCTCCAAAGTACCCAGACTGATACAGAGCCCTATCAAGCAAATCACTGCACCACGGAGATCCTTTTTTAAAAAAAAAAAAAAAGCTTATGGTGACTGTTGGGGAGAAATAAGAACTTTCTACTCCCGTAAAAAGTTACAATATCAAAATCCCACAGGGGCAGTTTTATCCAGCCTTAAAGGGTCGCTCAGTCACCTATAACTAGATGACAGTTTGGATTTGGTTTAGTGACTGTTGAGAATAAGGATTAGGAAGTAGAGCAAATAGGAAGCAATAGCAGCCAAGAAATGGAGGAAGTTCAGACTAAGAGAGTGGTGAGGGATGGTCGGATTTGGAATACATTTGCACACAAACCACAAGATACTGGCCAGCAAACTACCCAAACTTTGTTACTTAGTTGCCATTTGGTAAAATGAGGACAGTACCTATCTCAGCAGTCTTGTGAGATTATGGGTGGGATTACAAGTGCCTGGGCACCTAATGCTTATTTTATTGTTAATCATTGTTAAACGTACTATTTATTAAATTATTTTATTGGTGGCTTGTACAAACAACATTCTGGTAATTAAGAATTTAACTATATCTACCACCAAACTATAACAATTCTAGTAGTATTATTTACCCATCGTTTGTAACCAGAGCTTCACAGGGTGCAACGCAGGGATATGTGTATAAGCCAACTAAGTCCAACTTTGCATTACATGGCCCTAGCCCTGGTGGGGTAGTGATTACATGCTGGGCTGCTAACCTTGAAGTCAGCACTTTGAAACCACCACTGGCTTCATCAGAGAAAAATGGGGCTCTCTATGCCAATACAGAGTTAGTTTTGGAAATTCACAGGGGCAATTCTACGCAGTGCTATAGGGTCTCTGAGTTGGAATCAACTTGATTGTAGCGAGTTGGTTTGGGTTTAACAGTTTAGTATACTTGATGTAAGATTCCTTAGGTAAATCCATTCAAACAGTAACAAGTTACTATGTCAGTCAATACCACAACAAAGACGACAACCAAAAACAAAAGGACTAATGATTAAACACTGCTTAAATTTGCAGATGTATTTAGTAAACAATCGTGTAGTACATTACAATAATGTGTGTGCGTGAGTGAGTATTACTGAATTTTGGCCTCCCTTCTCCCCTTTTCATTATAAAAGAGGCCAAAAGGGAGTCACGATATAAGATAATCAAACGGGAAAGCACTTGTTCACCTGAAAGGCGGTAGAAGCCATCGAACAATATAAGTATCTTAAACCACACTTTTAAATTCGGTGATAATCCTCCTAGAATGGTAAACGAATGGGCACCAGGCAAAGGGGGTGAAATGTAGCTTTTTGAAACTTAACGCTGTGTTGTCACCCAAACCCGTACTAGCCCCCCGCTGACCATTTACAGTGTGACCTTGTAGAAATCTCGTGATCTGGGAGAGCCCTCCAGCGCACGCACACTCAAACAAATCTGGTGTTTTCATTTGCTGAGTGTTGGACCTCCACCCGCCTAGGGCGCTAGCAGGCTGCCGGACCTGAGCTGCGGAGCCTCCGGGACAGCGTCGATGACGTCACTTCCGGAGCGCCGGCCCGGGCTTTCTCCGGCGCTGCAAAGGGTAGAGGCGACGCGCTTTGCTCGGGAAGGAAGACGTAAACGCGCCTCTGTCACTAATAGGAAGGTGAGTGGATTCGTCGCTCTCTCCTTACCGATGCTTTTGCACCGCTAACAAAAGCAGGTCGAGTTTTATTGAGCTCATTGCCGCCATGGCTGGACAAGTCCTCTGGGTTTCATTGGGAGGTTTCTTGCTCCGAAAGAGAAGTGCTTGGCCCAAACCGCTTAAACTGGCTTCGCCAGTAGACTTGCGCAGGTTTGGCGATGCCAGTCTAATTTCTCTCGGGAGTGCGCTGTGCGGCGCCCCGCCTACGGATAATCCCTGCATGCCTCCTCACAGCTGTGCCATCAAAGGTCCCCTCTCTTCGCTCTTGTTGGCACGCCAATGTTTTCATTAGTTTGTAGGTAAAGATTCAAGGACCGGTGCTTTTGATAGCGTGAAACGAGTCACTTAGCAATCTGCAAATACTAGTGTACTTCAGTGATAGGCTGCTTAAGATAACTAGGGCAAAAAAATTATTTAGAAAAATTCTTGTTATGATAAGCCTTGGTAAGTAAAAAATGAGATTTACTTGGTTAGGTTATAATCCATGCACAATATAAACAGGCTGAAGTCGTTTAATTAGGGGTGTGTTTCTTGGAGACGTGTTTTATTTTATTCCAAACTACAGGACCACATCTTGTGCTTTATGTGAACATTTTTTTAACCAAATAGTTAAATTTTACTTTGAAAGATGTTGATATTGCCTTTATTTTTAAAAATTAGTATTAATTTTAGGTATCAAAAATAACACTAGTAGTCATTCATACAGTGGTCACACTGTAAAAGTAATCCTTATAATGAATTCTTTGATAATAACATGATATGTAAGTAACAGTAATCAAACACTAGCAAAGCCCTATATCTTCCCCTGTTTGCCTCCTGAAAGAGCACTCACACTGTTAATTGTATTCACAGGCATTTGCTAGTTTTACAATCTTTCTTATAATGCTTATAGTAAGCTTTCAGAAGTGCTTTGCTGAATAGGTGGTATATACACAGTAGTTGCTAGTACCTAATGTCAGTTCCAAACATTAAGTTATTTCTGTAATTCTTTTCCAGGAGTTATCTATACAGTAAAAAATGCTAATATTGAATAAGACAACCGGGATTTTTTCTAAAGCATCAAAAAGGAAAACTTACGAATTTTTAAGTAGTTTTACTTTGCATCCTGGAAAGCGATTTCTTCATAAAATAGTGTTGGGAATTGAAACCAGTTGTGATGATACAGCAGCTGCTGTGGTGGATGAAACTGGAAATGTGCTGGGAGAAGCAATACATTCCCAAACTGAAATTCACTTAAAGTAAGTAGACATTATTGTGGAGCGCTGGTGGTACAGAAATTAAGCTCTCAGCTGCTAACCCCTCAGGCACTCGGAAGGAGAAAGGTGTGGCAATCTGCTTCCTTTTAAAGATTTATAGCCTCAGAATCAGAATCCTTATGGGCTATAGGGTCTCTCTGAGTCATAATTAACTTGATGTCAATGGATTTAGTTTGGTTAAATATTAGCAATTTCCACTTTTTTTCAAAGTAAAATTAAGTAATTATTTTGTATTTGTAATATGTAAAAGTTAAATTTTGGAAGTGTTTCTTTCATGCAATATTTTCCAGTAACTGCTGTATGACAACTTCAAGCCTTACACTTGACTTTTAAGGCTCTTTGCAATAAAGTCACTAATGTTGCCAAAAAGATTTTGCTAATTTTTTTTAATCATTTTATTAGGGGCTCATACAACTCTTAGCACAGTCCATACATACATCAATTGTATAAAGCACATTTGTACATTCGTTACCTTCATCATTCTCAAAACATTTGCTCTCCACTTAAGCCCCTGGCATCAGCTCCTCATTTTTCCCCTCTGCTCCCACTCTCCCCACCCTCGTGTACCCTTGATAATTTATAAATTATTATTTTGTCATATCTTATGCTGTCCAACATCTCCCTTCACCCACTTTTCTGTTGTCCGTCCCCCAGGGAGGAGTTTATATGTAGATCCCTGTAATTGGTTCCCCGTTTGCACCCCACCCTCCCTCCAACCTCCCTGTATTGCCATTCTCACCACTGGTCCTGAAGGGATCATCTGTCCTGAATTCCCTGTGTTTCCAGTTCCTATCTGTACCAGTGTGTATCCTCTGGTCTAGCCAGATTTGTAAGGTAGACTTGGGATCATGATAGTGGGTGGGGAGGAAGCATTTAGGAACTAGAGAAAAGTTGTATGTTTCATCGTTGCCACACTGAACCCTGACTGGCTCGTCTCCTCCCTGCAACCTTTCTGTAAGGGGATGTCCAGTTGCCTACAGATGGGCTTTGGGTCCCCATTCTGCACTCCCCCTTCATTCACAATGATATGATTTTTTTGTTCTTTGATGCCTGATACCTCATCCCTTCAACACACAGGCTGGTGTGCTTCTTCCATGTGGGCTTGGTTGCTTCTCAGCTAGATGGCCGCGTGTTTATCTTCAAGTCTTTAAGACCCCAGATGCTATATCTTTTGATAGCAGGGCACCGTCAGCTTTCTTCACCACATTTGCTTATGTACTCATTTGTCTTCAGCGATTGTGTGGGGAAGGTGAGCATCATGGAATGCCAGTTTAATAGAACATAGTATTCTTGCATTGAGGGAGTACTTGAGTGGAGGCCCAATGTCCATCTGCTACCTTAATACTAAACCTAAAACAAAAACCTTAAAACTATAAATATATGCACATAAATCTATTTCCCCATCCTCATATATAATTTACATATGTCCATGTCTTTAGACCTCTATAAATGCCCTTTGCCGCCTAGCTCTTTCCTCTATTTCCTTTGACTTGCCTCTTGTCCCACTATCATGCTCAGCCTTCATTTGGGTTTCAGTAATTCCTCTCGGTTACATTACCCTTGATCACGCCCTACCAGGCCTCCTACACCCTCCTCACCACTGATTTGGATCACTTATTGTTTCCTTGTCCCTGGGTTTGTTAGCAATTTTTACTAATCTTACTGTCCAAAATGCACCTCTCATTCATCAGTTTGTTGCACTGTGGTGACTTGAATGTGTTCGGATGCTAACAGTATGCTGTAGTAGGGTCATCCATGGTGGACAGGTTTTAGCGGAGCGGAAATACTAGGAAGAAGGACCTGGTGATCTACTTCTCAAAACCCTGGCGATTGAAAACCCAGACAATGGCTGTGAAACAACCTGACTGGAAGATGAGCCCCTCAGTTGAAAAGCATTCAAAATATGACTAGGGAAGAGGTCCCCAAAACAGGATTGGAGGAAGAAACATTTACATTGACTCAAAAACAACTTTTTCTAAAACTGAAAAAGACGAAGCACTGATAAAGATCAAAGATAAAGCCTTCAGTGTGGATCACAACTAGACCAATAATAGACGACATAATGTTAAATGAAAAGAAGTTTAAAGCTGTAAAGGATTTCATGTTGCTTGGATCTTCAGCCAACAACCATGGATGTAGCAATCAAGAAATGAAGCCCTATATTACATTGGACAAATCTGTTAAAAGGCACTTTAAGAACTTAGATGGACCTGACCTAAATCAGGCCATGGTATTTTCAGTTGCTTCATAACTTGTGAAAGCTGAAAAGCAATAAAGAAGACTGAGGAAGAATTGATCCTTTGAATGATGGTGATGAAAAATATTGAAAATGCCAGGGACTGCCAGAAGAACAAACACAGCCCTAGAAGAAGTACAGGCAGAATGCTCCAGAGAAGCAAAGATGGCAAGATTTAGTCTCACCTAATGTGGATATGTAATCAGGAGGGATCATCGTGCGTGGTCGAGAGTCAACGAGAAAAAGAAGACCCATAACGACGTGTTGACCCAGTGACTACAACGGTGGACTCAAAACAGCAGCAGTTGTGAAGATGGTCCAGGACCATGCACTGTTTCCATCTGCTATCCACGGGGCCACTAGTTGGAACTGACAGGACGACACCTGCCAAAAAGAAGCTCAACTAAGCTTATTTCTAACTAACATTTTAATTTTTCCTCAGTAGTGTCTTATCTATATTTCTCCACTTCTCTGTGTTACTGTCTGAACTGAGTTCTAGAAAAGTCTGATCCTGACCTCAAGCCTTGGTTAATATCTCTCTCGCCTTACGAAAGATGCAGGTGTTCACACTTATGTACGTACTATTTATTGTTATTAAAACATAATATGGTGCAAGGTTTATAAGCACAGATGTTTACAAAGGCCAACTAGACATGACTGGATATAAAGTGTGAAATGACTATGGGGGTGTGGGTGGGGGGCTGTCACTGCTCAACTGCACTCCATTGACTCTTATGTTATTAAATTATCAGAATATTCAAGAGAATAAGGTAGTCCAAATTTGTGATGCCTTGAATTTTTTAGAATGAATAGCTTATTCAGAATGTTTCAAAATACTTTGTAGATCAAATGTACCTTAAAGCCAACAATTTATATTTGAATACTTAAAAAAGCCTGATCATTTAGAATATTTAAATCCTGAATGAGGCACTTAATGTTAGCTCTGCAACTGGAGTAAGTTCTTTATCCTTTTTTATTCTGATTTTACGTATTAAAATGAGAAACATAATAACCTGCCTTCTAGGATTGCGAGGGTATTAAAAATAATGTGTCAAGAGGTAGAATAGGGCTCAAATGATAATTTACAATGTGAAAAGTTAGGTGACTGTTATGGAGGTACAAGAATCTTAACCTAATTGCTGAGATACATATATAAAACAAGTAGGCGAGCTAACAGCTTGAGATAGCATAAAATGAGTATCAAACTTATGGAAACAACTATTATTACTATGTCTCATTCCTCAGGTTTTCCCAGTTACTTGATTTTTAATATATAAATGTTAACTGCACTGAAAGGCCAACTTTGACCACTTTTATCTAATTTTGGTGCTTTATTTTCTGTCACTATCTCCTGTATGTTTTCTTTATATTTCTTTTCACAATTAGTAAGTACATATCTGTTGGCTGAGGTAAAAATATTTACCCCAATATGTACCTGATGGACTGTTCCATCATGTCGGGGATTGTGTTTATCTGGTTTACTACACTATGCCTAGTGCCTAGCACAGCATCTGCCATAGAAGGTGCTTGTTGGCCTTTAAAGATGGTTAGGCCTTCCCTGAATGAAGATGGAAAGGATGTTTTAGCCTGAGAAGCATCGTTGGCCTTTAAGGCCAAAGAAATATGAAAGGACCGGATAGTGTAACTAAAATAGGTCACTTGAAGGAATACTGGGCAAACAGGCTTGAGGGGTGCCATCTGCAGAGCTCAGCTCCTCATGTCTTGAATACCTCCAATCACCGGGTAATATTGAGGCCCTGGGGTACAAAGAAGCCCTCTTTCATTCTGTACTACCACCCAGTGTAAGATGTCCTTGTAAACTGCTTTTGCAGTCACCTCTTTAGGAATCTCCCTTTTTTGCAAGTAGATTACTTTTCCTAAAACAGCTCTGTCGTGTCCATCCATTAAAATAAAAAAGTTTTTCCTACAATGTAGCATTATTTTGTTGCGTCCATCCATTAAAAAAAAAAAAAGTTTTCCTACAATGCAGCATTATTTTGTTGCTTTCATTCATCACAAACAGACTTATAGACACAAGTTTGTTAGACACAAGTTAAAAGTCTGGAGACATGCTCCCACTGCCTACATACTGAGTTCTGATTGTAGTGGTATAATACACCACATGTCCTTGAAATCACTTTAAATGCTTAAGTATATAATTAATTTGAAAATATACTTTCAGCTGTAATATATGATTTTTCTTCCTGGGTTATTACTGTCTCAGTGTTTTAAAAAATATGTTCCCCTTTTTTCTTTCAGAGCAGGTGGAATTATTCCTCCAGTAGCTCAACAACTGCACAGAGAAAATATTCATCGCATAGTGCAGGAAGCTGTTTCTGCCAGCAATCTCTCTCCAAGCGACCTCTCAGCAATTGCAACTACTATCAAGCCAGGACTTGCTTTAAGCTTGGGAGTAGGTTTATCATTTAGCTTACAGCTGGTGAACCAGTTGAAGAAGCCTTTCATTCCCATCCATCATATGGAGGCCCATGCACTTACTATTAGGCTAACCAACAATGTAGAATTTCCTTTTTTAGTCCTTTTGATATCTGGAGGTCACTGTCTATTGGCATTAGTTCAAGGAGTTTCAGATTTTTTGCTTCTTGGAAAGTCTTTGGACATTGCACCAGGTGACATGTTTGACAAGGTAATATACCTTTAAGAATTATTTTCTCCATTCTGTTCTGTTAATATATGTTTCAACTAAACACTGATAGATGTACTACTACTCATCTACATATCTCTGAATGTTATTCTATTAGACTATACAATTTATACTCAGTAAGAAAAAAGTCTAATTTTATAAAAAATATCCTCATCTGTTCCTAATAAAATGATAGGGAAGTTTGATCAGTCCACAAAAAGGCTAAAGAGCTTGCAGATGTAGGTATGTGATTAGTCAGAAAATACATATGAAAGTGCTTTGTAAACCGTAAAGTATAGATGTACAATAAGAAAATAAATATAAAAACTAACATACAAACTTCTATGATTAAATCACTTGATGCCTGTAGTCACACGCAAGCTGATTCCTGTTTTACTTTAGAATGATACGTAGCCTCCTGCCACATACAAAAATCACTGCTGCCAACAACAGAAAAGACTGCAAGAAAGAACAGAGCATGGTCGCAGTTTTATGGTTCTTATTTCAGAAATCGGTCAACTTCAAACCTATTTCCCATCTCTAACAAAAGACCCAAAATAAAATAGGGAGGCAATGTTACTGGATGTTACTGCGTATGCGTCAGAAAGCAGAGGGTTGTCTGTCTCACTGGGGTCACCAGCTATAGTCTGTTGTAAAAGTAAGCCTGTTTTGCTCATCCAGTTTTTTTGTTTTAGTAATTTTTCATTTTCTTTGCATATTATGGTTGTAAAACATGGATTTTTATGACTCAATAGGAAAATGTATATTTTTGTTTTATAGGTAGCAAGAAGACTTTCTTTAGTAAAACATCCAGAGTGCTCTACCATGAGTGGGGGGAAGGCCATAGAACATTTGGCTAAACAAGGAAATAAATTGTGTTTTGATCTCAAACACCCTATGCAACGTGCTAAAAGTTGTGATTTTTCTTTTTCTGGACTTCAAAGCAATGTTAACAAATTAATAACGCAAAAGGAAAAAGAAGAAGGTACATTTCTAATTTCACACTTGGACAGATAAGTAATTCTAGCTTGTGCTTTAAAAGACCTTCATTTTTGCAGGGATTGAGGCAGGACAAGTCCTGTCTTCAGCTGCAGATATTGCTGCTTCGGTACAGCACACAACAGCCAGACACATTGCCAGAACAACATACCGTGCAATCTCATTTTGCCAGAAGAGGAGCTTGTTATCGCAGACTAATGCTGTATTGGTAAGTGCTTATTGTCTTGTTGTATAGTAATAATAACCATCTTATAGTACATGACCCTTCTTTATAGAGCTCAGTTGACTGCGTGTGAAGGCTCACTGGATCATCCTGCAATATTCTGTGTGAAATGATGTTGAATAGAGAAAGCCCACTAACATCCATTTCTTCTTTTCTTTTTTTCAACAATTTTATTGGCATATAATTTATCATATAATTCAATAGCTCAGTCACATCATGATGAGTTGTACAGTCACCACCACAATCGTTTTTAGGACATTTTCTTCATTCTCATACTCATCGTTTTTAATGCCCCATTTCCCCCCAACCTTCCCTTAGCCATTCCCTCAAGGAATCATTAATCCAGTTACTGCCCCTGTAGATCTACCTGTCCTGGACTTCATATACATAAAACATTAAAAAGAACCAAAATAACAACAATGACAAAATAAAACAGATAAAAACTGCTATGGAAAAGAAAGAAAATACTTAAAACTAGAGGAAATCATAAGAATGATAAGGTGCAAAATTTAACTGCATCTGCAGTAACCCACTTTCCAGTGCATTCCGCATGATAGCAGTGGTACTGCATCCCTCATGCTATGGCCAGTGCATTCCGCATGATAGCAGTGGTACTGCATCCCTATGCTATGGTCAGTGCATTCCGCATGATAGCAGTGGTACTGCATCCC